AGCAATGCCAACATCCGCTGCAGACTTGCGGCTAGCAAAATCACATCAACAACAATTACAGCAACAGCATCTTGGCTTATACTATGTTTGTCGATGGCAAACAGCTTAAGAAGTTGGGTATTTCTCCAATTTTAGTTAAGGCATCTGGCTGCAATTAATTAAAATGAATTATTATATTGAATATGAAATGAGTATAGAATAATTCTCAACTCAACTCGAGTTAATATTTCTAATTAGTTAGTGCATTTATCAAATATGCATTAAGCAGCAGGAGAAGTATTTCAATTGTAGTCAATCGTTTGGCTTACTGAGTGAGCTCGATGAAGAAAGATATACGGAAACTTACAGTTGGTCTTAACACTGAAAATAAAATTGCGTTAAGTGAGCTGATGAGAATGGCAATTGTTTAGCATTTTTTATGAGCTCGCAATTATATACGTTAGCAGATGAAATATCTAAATGACTTAAATATTTAGAAAAGTCTGAGTGTTAAATGTGATTTATTTGTTTTCAATCTTTTGTTACAAGTCAAAATGAAGCCAAGACAATATCAGCTTAGAGCGAAGGGTTTTTAGATGAGAGGAAAAAACTTGCCTATTCATAATAAAACAAAGTAATTTATTTTTAATAGCAAATGGTCTTTATAAGATCGAAAGCTTTGTGACATTAATGCTTAAATATAATTTTGTTCAAGGTTCGCCAAGGTCATAAGTCTTGAATTGAAATTAACCTCTGCCTTTGATTGTGACTAGAAATATTAAGCTTAAATAAAATTAACTTTATTTGAAGATGCAATCAACAAGAAGCTTCAGTCTTCGTTAACCCAAATGCGAATGATTGCGTCTTGCCTAAATAATAACTAAGATTAAAGTCTGTACTTAAACATTAACTCAAGTTAAGCTAAAGTTTAAATATTATTTTCATACAGATGAATAGAGATAAGTGCTAAATGATCACCTAGCTATTGAGCTACTTCGCTATCTATATTACAACAGTCATAGCTCAATATACCTTCTGTATGCCATTTCAAATTTGCATAGGGTATAAAACGTAAGTGCAAATCAAGTACTTTTCCAATCTAGCTGCTGTATGTAGATTTTCTATTTGCGTAATTATACATCTATTGAAATAGCTCTGTTTCTGAAACACAATTTAAGAGCTTATGCCAAAATAAAATGGAAATGATTTTAAGCAGAGCTGCAGCTCGAGCTCAACCCGAATTGCTGAGCATAAATAAAAGAGAGTTCGCTTTCCAATTCCCATATTACGTTTCGTCCGCTCAACTCTTGATGTTTCGATTTTTATCTAGCATTGGCAGGGCTTCGGCATGGTGCATGCCTGGGTTTTTGTATATGCCATGGAGAGTGGCGCTTGGCTTTGGTAATTTTCAGCTTTTTGGCTGCCCTTCGCTTTTCATTTCACGGGCATGCTAAACTCTGGCTTTAGCTGAATGCTACCAATACTCGCATTGCTTGCAAAATGTTTTTTATTTTATTTTTCTGGTTTGGTTTGGTTTGGTTTGATATCGCTGCCAGCAGCATGGCACCAGTCTGTTACCCTTCCCCATCAGCTCTTCCCCTCCGCAAGTTGCTTTGCCCGCTGCACTCCCTTCACTCTCTCTCCCTCTCTCCTGCTTGTTGGCCATTCATGATTTTTCATTTCATTTTCGCTTATTGCCTCAGTTGGTTTTTTGTTACTGGGTTTTCTATTTCTAATTTTCAATGTGAGTGAGTGTGTGCGAGTGTAGTGTGTGAGTGGGGGCTTTTCCTCTCTCAACAATAAACATAGTTTTGCATTTGCTGCAAGTGTGGAGTGTGTGTGTGTGGTTGGTCTGTGTGTCTGCTTGTGTGTGGGTGTGTGTGTGATATCTTTGAATGTAAAATAAAAGCTTAACTCAAATTGAAAAACTTTTTCAATATATGTATTCTTTGTCTTCAATTGCTTCTGTGCTTATGTACATAAAATATAGTTAAAATTGCAATTTGTTGTATTATGCGTTTAATCATATGTATATAGACATATATAAATATATTATATATATCCCACATAGTATTTTAAATGTTCTATGACTTGTTATAAAATATATTTTATATTTACGCTGCCTAAAAGTATGCCTCATTCATTTAATAAAACTCAAGAGTATGAATAATATATGTAATGCAGGCATAAACATTTAATATTCATAAAAAATGATGTTTCAAGTCTTAAGATGTGATTGCCATGGGAAAAGCGGACATCCGAATTTTCTTAATGTGGGAAGCACAAGCGACATTTGGCAAAGATTTTAGCCAAATGAACATTAAAACTTTTAGTGTTGGACTACGAAATACCCTTTGGCAACAAGAGACGGAAGTCCTTTTGGCAATAACGAGAAATTAATATATTTTTTCAGATCATTTCGAAATAAAATTATATGAAAAAAATTTTAATTGGAAATGCTTAACATTTGCTTGTTTTACTTCTCTTTCAGAGCAAAGAAAAACTTGTGAAGAGCAGCGAAAGAAAATGAAGGGAAATAAAAATGATTGCCTTGATATTCATAAGCCGCGTTAATGCGGGCTGCAGCTTCGCTTTGTCTCTTGGGTTTTTTCAGTGTTTTTTTTTTCGCAACTTGGCAGCTCGCGCAACATTTGCGGCTGCTTAATTACGCGAGGCTATTTAATTTTATTTCTTCTCGGCGAAAATCCGCTCACGCATAAGCTCAAACATTGCATTTTCGCGCTGCGACAGCTGCACCAAATTGACATTTGTATTAAACGAAAAGTTGTCTGAGCAGCAGAGGCAGGGACGGAGAGAGAGAGAGAGAGAGAGAGATGATGAGGGCAGCTATACCACTTCGCCCGCAGTGTCTTGGTGACTGAGTAAAGGACACTTGAGCCGCGCACAGTGCGCATCATAAGTTAATGTACGACAATGGCCATGTATAAATAAAAGTTGTCCTGCCAAGAAAAACTCTGGCAGTTAATTTCACGCTGCCAGCCTCTGTGACTGCTCAAGATGATGAAGTGCATTCGCATTTGGACAACTGAAGTAACCGCCGAGCACGGACTGTGTAAATTAACAAATGCCACTGTGTCTCCATCTCTCCCTCTCTCTCTCTCTCTCTCTCTTTCTCTATTCATTTGCATGTTTATGGTGGCCGCAAAAGTCTACCCTTTGTATGTTTTATAGCTGTCATATGTCCTATGATATCGATACAACAGTCGACAGCAATGCTCGCCTATCTTAATTTCGTGTCACACACATGAAATTGACACCCATTGTGTGTGTGTGAGTGTGTGTATTCAAAATTTATAGTCATTTATGAGCATGTTGGAGTGTAATAGGTCTGCCACATTGGGGACAGCTAACACGCAGATAACTGCACAATTACAATAAAACAAAAAGCAAGCCTAGAAAACAAAGCCTGGCCAAAAGTATTTAGATAGCGTGCGGGCCCAATCGCAACTTTGATTGGCCTTCTGTGCGTGCTACATAAGCAAAACAGACCAAAAGTCAGCTTTACGGCTATGCGCTATAATCCAGAGCAGTTGAATCTGTTGTTGACTGTTCAAAACTCGCTCTCAGTTGTGATTTGTTGAGCGAGGCTTTGACTGCTGCTTGCATCTATATATTTTAATAAAATTCCAATTAGCGTGTTCTAGTTGCTAGAGTATCACGCTGCAAAATTGTCGACAAGTTCCAATTTTCTCTTTTCACTAATTGGCATAACTTTACCTTTAGCTAATTTAATTTTCGTAATGTCTGCTGTTCCAAGTGAACTTTGCAATTAAAAGAAATCATTTTAGAGTTTTCTGGTACATAAAAAAAAGGTTTCCCCTCTCTACTCTTTAGTCGTTAAGTTTTATAGCCTCAGCCTGTGCCAGCAATCGGCTTTATTTATCTGGCTGATGCGCATTCGACTGCATTTACGACCTTGAGCTGCAGCAAGGTGTATTTGGCCAATGTAATTCTCGCATAGGATATGTGCAGGCCATTAGCTACGCCTACTTGAATGCTCGCATGGCCGTGTGGGGCCCGAGAGCCATTATTGTTATCTTGTATCGTGTGTACATCCGCATTAATTGTTCCTGGACCACAGCTTCATTATGATGCTGGCCAGCCTCTCAGTCCCGGCTTTGTTGTTCTTATCAGTGCCACTCTCGCTCTCTCTCTCTCTGTCTCTGGCTCGAAAATTGTCTCTTGTAACAGTCTCATATTCAGCACGTATTCAGCAGACGCCCTAATGCCGCTCTCTTCGCCTCGCTCTCACGCGTGCGCAGTGGCAAAAGCTGTTCCTCTCTTCATGCTTAAGCACTTATGTTGATACGATGAAACTTGTGATTTAGTTGAAGTCTGACTTAAGATTATATCTAATAGATATTGTTCACAATTTGTACCCCAATTATGATATGCATGAAAGGTACAACTGAATATAAAACTCACTTTGAATATAGAGAGTTATTACAGTCAAATAGAGAGAGTTCATGACTTATGTACGTGAGAGCATGATATAATGTCAACATAATAAGACTAAAATTTATTTTAATGAGGTTTTTAGCCTTTGAACTTATTGCTGCAGTGTTTAAACAATAAATCTATGTACGTGACAATATCCAGTTATGTAAATGGGAGATAAAATCCGATAATTAAACGTGCTCTATTTAACATATGATTTAATGGAATGCTTACCGATTCAGTAAAGCGTTCCCACGGTGAAATTTGTCATGAAAATTAAACTTTCTTTATAAAGAGACTTTATTTGATGTTTAATCAAATGCCTAAGATCGAAGTTAGTGAAGAAAAATAAACTCTCAAAGAAAGAGTTATACGATGTGCACACGATGAACTGTCCCTTGGTAAGTTGTTTTCCAAATCAATCATAAATAAAGAGTAGAATATTATTTTCAATATCATCTTGCTGTTTTTATTTGCTTGAACACAATACTACATATAACTAACTAGTTGATGTTAGGCGTTGTTTAAGAGAGAGAAAATGTTGATTTATAATTTTGCTTCTGTTCTTTTTCTTAATTTTTTTCTTGGTACAAACATTTGATACAAATATTCGGTAGTTGATTGACTGAATGATGGATGTTATCAATAATACAATATAAATAATTTAAGGCATATGTAAGCATAATTGCAAAGTTAATGATGCTAAGGCTAGAGAATATGTATGCTACATCATATGGCAATTGGGTTTTGTTGTTATGTGGAATGTTTAAATAAGAGTAAGAGCCTATCATTTGCTACATATTAGTGGACAGTTAGAGTAGTAGAAATAGTCTGCTGGGAAACTGGGAGTCGAAGATGGTTCTAATGACACTACATAGTAGTTATTACTGGGCGGGTGAGCTAATACATTCTGCGGCATATTGGTTGCATGGCAGTGCTGGGTAGTGAGAGTAGGTGAGGCAGTAGATAGTAGTCGAGTATCTACGACATCTGTCTTCTAGCCGCGCCAACTCAAAAGGCTCCAGCCACGACTCGGCTTTGGTGTGCTGGCTGCATTCTCGGCCTCTGGTGCCGCTGCCGCTGCCGCTGCCGCTGCCGCTGCCGCTGCCGCATCCTGTTGCTGCTGCTCGCTCGGATTCTGATCTATATAGGTGCGTAGAATGGTATGCTTCTGTACGGACTTCTGAAATTCCGCTGCACTTGGACGATATGCCTCGAGCTTGTGATGATACCTGCCGGAAAGCTGTTGATTCCTCTCTGTGGTATAGGCCTGGCTACTGCCACGCGCCTTGGTGCCAAAGGAGCTGCCGCCGGACGTCGTCGATGCTGCTGGCGCTGCCTGTTTAGGGAATTGGGAGGAGGAGGAGTGGGTAAATTGTTGATTGGGATTATTTTGGTTTCGGTTGCTGTTGCTCTGTTTGCTGTTTGCTAATAGGCTCTTGTTAATGTTGTTAGTCGGCTTGTTGTTGTTGTTGCTGTTGCTGTTGCTAGCTGAAGAACTGTAGCTGTATTCATACGTTTCAATTGTGTTGCCGCCATAGACGCTGTTCGTTGCCGCGGGCGCAGCACCTGGCGCCGCGCAGAGTCCTTGATACCGTGCCGATGGCTTCATGCCATACGTGGCGCATGATGGCTTGCCCACTTCATAGGGATTGTAGCCAACAACGTTGCCACTGCGAGTAGAAAGAGAGCTCAATTAGCGCTTGATCCTATTATAGTTTGCTATTGCTATGTGCTGCTTACCCTGGTCCATAGTTGCACACGTAGAGCTTGTTGTACTTGACGTTATCTTTGTACTCGGCAAAGCCACAGCCCACCAGGCTGGTCTCGCCCCACACCAGCTGGGAGTAGTGGCCCGTCTTGGGCGACCAGGCATCGCCGAACGAATACTTTTGCACCTCATTGAACCAGTTCTGAATGCGCGACGGAAAATCACCATCGTCCGCATCCAGCGGTACAGTGCTCCATATGACAGCCAGATTCTGGCCCATGGTAAAGCGATCTAGTGGAAAGATCAAGCAAATGGACATTTGTAAGTAAACCAGATCTTGAGGGCTTCAGAGTTATTGTGGGTGCGGTATGGTCTAGGCATGCTCAGTTAGTTTTAGTGTTTTATAGCAGATGATAACCGGTGCACCAGATGTATATTGATGATACTTTACCAAGGCCTTCTGGCCGAGTGCATGCAAATCACAAAAACCAGCTGCCGGCTGTCGTATTGCCGGCATAGTTCGAACTTCACCATATGGACGATTGCGAGCATGCAGTTAGTTAGGGACAACTTACTTATTGTGCGGTGCGGATCGTGTCGGAACTGGCAATTGTCGGCCCATTGTTGGGCGCGGGCGGCCAGCTCGTCGTCCCAGACGATCTCGCGCATATTCTCGGCGCCCGGCTGGCCCGGATAGCGGCCGGTGGCAACGAGTTGCCTGAGGCGATTGTGTTCCTGCAAGATGATTGATCTCTCCTCGGTGCTGATGCCCGATGCTGAAACGATCGAATCGAGATTAGCATAAGCTCAGATATATCTTTGCATGTATATTAATGTATTTTAGAATATGTATGCGATTGGGGACATGCTATCATTTCTATTTTTGGCTTTTTTTCTATCCCAAATCGAAACGCTTAAAATAAAAAGTTTTTTTTTGCTTCTTTCGTGATTTTATTATGCGTGTGTGTCGCTATTGGGCTTTTGTGTCGACTTGGCTTAATGATGCTCTGCCAAACTGCCAGCCGGTTTCCAGCTCGTTCAAACTTCATTCAAGTTTCGCTGAAGCTTTTACCGAAATGCTCAAAATTTAAATGAGCCGCACTGTAATAGTTTATATAACTACGTTTATAGGCATCAAATCGTTCCATTTAAAGTGTTTGCAAATAATTTCGAAATGAATGATTCGCCTTAGTTTTGATTCGCCTCAAATGCCAACCGGTTCGAATTAGAACACGTCTTGGAATAAAACCAAAAAATAGCAAAACCCAAGACGTTATAAATGTATATATGAAAAAAAAGTCAATAAACATTTAAAAGTCGATGCGGCGCGTGCTGCTCAAAGGCGTCAATTAAAAATCCAACTTTTGCCCATTAGCCAATTTTTTATGAATTTTGTTTTCGAGATGTTTTTTTCCCTCTCAATGGCGCCTGACTCCACTGACTCACGACTCATTGGTGTGAAGTGTGTCAGCAGCAGACAAATTGGCTTCAATTTGGCTTTTTTAAATTTGAAACAAAACTTACTTTCAAGTAGATCATATTACGAACCTAAATTTATAAGCCGCTGCAATGAGCTGATCGCGGAGTCTGTGTGGAGAGCAACGACTAAATTGCCGCAGGGTGTTAATTAGGCGAACCAGCGGCCAGTGTACGTGAGCCTCATATAAGCCATATAGACGATTTATTTATATATGTATAAATATGAATTTCGTGCAGGAAAAACCAAGCGCTGGTCCTTGCCTGGACTTTTGGGGCGTGTTCAGTTGATGCAGCCGCATTTCATTTAAATAATTACGCGCGCTTAATAATTTTTAATAATTATAATAATGGCCAGAGCGAGCGAGATCTGGCGATGGACGCTGATTGCTCCGCCGAGACGTGAGCGCATTTAACAAGCGAACTCCTTCTGCCGCTGCCACGGCCATGGCATTGCCAGCTGCCGGTCAAGTGCAGCAAACGTGCTTCAGCTTCACTCAGACAACTTGACGCGACCAACAACAACAACGGCAGCTATAGAACAAATAAATTTACAGCTACGCTTAGCTGATGCTCGCACAAATATGGGTCTAGATGTCAATAGAGCTAGCCGAATCGCTTGTTCGCATTTGCTCGAACATCGAAGCTGCTGAGCTGGAAGTTTTTTTAGTAAGTGTGTTTTATGTATGTTTATTGTTGTTGTTGTTGTTGTTGTTGTTGTTGGTATTGTTGCTGCTGTGTGTTTTTGTCAAGGTTAGTGCCGCTGACTAAAAATAGCAGTGAGCGAGCGGCTCTTGCAGAACCCGTCGAGCTTCAAACTCAACCGCAGCTGTCAAATTAAAGACGTGTTAGTGTTATGCTATATATATATATATATATACATACACATATCGACAAAGTACATTTACATAAATATCAGTTGGCAGGCATTGAGACGAACCGGTACGTAAATCAACGCACAACATTGTCTCTCGCTCGCAGCCTCTGTGCTTTAAGTCAATATGCATCAATCACAGTGCAACGGGCGCTATGCAAATTTTGTGAACTACCTTCGCTGACAAATTGCGCATAAAGCTGTCGATCGATCGATCGATTTCCGCAAGGGGCTGCCACATTTACATATTCTTAGTGGAGTTAATAAGAAAAAAACATAAAAAGTAAATACGAAATATAATGTTGACAACGAAACGTCAACAGCTACCACAAAACAAAAGACTTAAGCAACGAACTGCAGCTCCAGCTACAGCTCGAGCGGCCAGCAAATGCCAACAATATGTTAACAAGTGCTTAACTGGCAGCTCGCGTTGACTTCACCTTGAAGCTGCCTGCCTGGGAAGCAACCGGGCGATGCTGCCAACAAAAAGGAGACGCCGAAGAGCAGCATCCTCTGACGCATTCAGCTGCAGCTTAATACACATAGTTATGCTTTATGTTGGCCGCAACATGTTTTGTTTTCATTTATCATTTACTGATTATCGCCCAGCGACTCTTGTTCGTTGTTCGTTGAGGTAGTTGTCGTTGTCGTTGTCGTTGTTGCTGTCGTTGTTGCTGTTGCTCTTGCCTGCGCATCTACATATTTAATTACATTATTAGCACGGCGTCGCTTTGATTGATGCCGCGCAGCTAAACGTTTCTTCCGCAGAGTCGAACTGTAAATTCTTGTATTATAATTACAGATTTGCTTTTCCCGTGTCCCATTGTTCGGGAGTTCGGGATTGAAGCTCATAAAAAGCAAACATTAATCAACATCACGCACACGCGCACTATAAAAACTTTGATTTTTATTACGAACAAAATAACAAAAACAAAAATAAAAACAAATACAGAAAACAAACAATAACAACTGGAATTTGTTTTGGGCTTCTGTTAACAAAAGGCGGCGCCTGCGTGTGCAGAACACAAAAAGCGTCAATAGAATTGTTTGGCAAGTGTTTGGTTTTTTTTTATTTTAATTAATTCTCTTCTTTTTTTTTGGTTTTTCGTTGATCCACTTAACACGCCCCAATAAATTAAATGTGTTTTTTTCGTTACTCACTGGCAGGTGCTTGAGTACAGCGAAGTGTCTAATTTGGAGTAAGACATTCAATTAACAAGCAAATTACCTTCACGCGGCTTTAGCAGTTCAATGAGCTGCCAGAACTCGCTGCTGAGCCGTTTCATAATTATGTTATTTGATAATAATCATGCGGAATGTTAATGAATCGGATTGAATCAAATATTATATTTGCCAGGTTGATTGGCCTTTGATTAACTGAACTCTGAAGCAGCTACTAAGCATTTATAGTTTCTCGTTATATTTTAAAGATTATATAAACTGGAAATGCGAACAGGTTTTGTTTTAGTTTTTGTTTTATTTTAATTTGGGAAGCACAACACTGAAGTATTAGCTATACACTTTATGTAATAAGGCGCCATTTCGCGTCATGTTCAGTTGCTAAGCGCGCAAGCGCACGAGCACCTAAGCTGTCTAGCTTGAAAGTTCTCGAGCACACCTCGCAGCTGCAGGCTATAAGTGCGGCTGTGGCTTTCGCTAAATGCAAACTAAACAAAACATGGGTTTGGCAAATATTTACTGAAATTCCTTAGGCACTTTTCGCTTTTGACTTCTTTTCATTCATAAAACAAATGACAGAAACGTGCCTCCAATGTGCGCAAATAAAATGAAAAATTTGCAAAGCACAACTAAAAAAGCCAAATGCGAAATGCAAAATGCAAAACACAAAAGTTATTGGCTTAAAAGTCGTATAGTTTGAGTGGAAATAAAAACGTATTCGTGCATGCCGAACAGGCGTTTGCTATAATTTTGCTCTAGGTCTATTCTCGGATCATTTTAATGCCCCAACTCAGTCAGTTCGCATACAAATGAGTCGACAGCCAAGTCGGGAAGTCTGAATTGGGGCTGGTCAGCGCTACTTACCGATTAGCTTGCCATGGCAGGCAAATGCCGCTCCACAGGAGATCAGCATCAGGGCCAGAGGTAGTAGAGCGTTGCGCTGCATCATTTTATATATTTGATTTGATAATTTAGTTAAGCACTTGGCACTTGATTAAACACTGTTGAATATAAGCTCTTCGCTGGCGACAGTCTTACATTCAATGCTTGCACTTTAGATTTAGATGTTTCCTTTTTTGATTTTAAATTTAAATTTTCAATTTCAATCACACGCGATGCCGGGCAGGCCTGCCAAAAGATCTGTGTGTGTGTGTGTCCAAAAAACCGAGCAAAAAAAGCGTCACGAAATATTGCCGACGACTCCAACTCCACTCTCGTGCGTGCAGCTAGACTTGAAGGCGTCGTCTGTTTGATTGGACGCTGGGCGACGCTGACGTTTATATACCAAGAGCAAAGGCAGCGAACAGTTACGGCGACAGCGACGGCAGCTGCGACTGCGACTGCGGCAGCGCCAGCGCCAGCGACAGCAACGGCGACGGCAACAGAGATAACAGCGGACACAAAAGAAGCTGCCGATCAACCTGTCGCCGCGCCGGGTGAGAGCGAGCAGATGCGCGGACTGCGCAGCCGGCCATCAGCTGAAACGAAATCAGTTTTTTATAATTCTTCTAATACATGAAAGAATTATATATATTAATACTGTTATTTATATTAATTTCTATTCAGCTAATAATATACGACTTTTCCAATTTAAAGCATATTTATATTATGCTCTTTCCAGTGGCCGTTAACAGCCGCAACATGCTGTTAACATAACATGTTGCTAAGGCTTAGCTCAATATCGCTGTTATAACTCATACGTGACTGTATGTTGCTGGCAACATGTTCGCAACATACCATGTGCGTAATATGAGATGTTGCTGCAATATGCTATTAGCATGGAATGTTGCTAAGGCTGACTGGTCGAGTGCTTAGCGATTCGTAACATAGAATATTAATACACGCAACATGTTCTCAACGATTTTTGCAGCTAGAATTAGCTGGATTATATATATTTTGAGAGAAAGACTTTCAATTTACTTTATTTTATATATTATTGATGAAACAACTAAGCATTTTTTTATTTTAAGTATATAAGGTATAAAGGATGTCATGTATATTTATTTAAAAATTTATTCTTGCTCTGTAAAATACACAAATTGTTAAAAACAATGCCTTTCATGCGAACGTCATAAAACCTTGCCGTTTTAAATTTACATTGAGAGCAGTTTATGTGACACCGCAGATTCGATTCAATTTAAACCCTCTTTGTTGCATCAAGCTATCACGCTTCTTAAATCTCTTTCAAGTCGGATATATGCATTTAGCAACAGCTGTAATTTATAATTTCATCAGCATCAGAGAGCTGCAGTTATCAGAAAGATCTGGTATGAATGAAACTATGTAAACTAGATACATAAACCATATCCACAATTTAATAATAAATAATAATAAATAAAAACATTTAAAATGTAAAATATAAAGTAATTTACATAAATATTTAACTGAATTAAAATATACTTTAAATATGGCGAGTTGCTGTTGCCCTTTTGCTCTCGAAAATGATTGTGTTCTTTAATAATTGCCGGCGAAAGACATTGATTGAACTTTATGTTGATCGGAAGACGGGATAGGGACTGCGAGCAGCAGCAGTTCTGGCTGGTTGGGGCAACAATCACTTGAGCCGTTGCCGTTGCCGTTGCACAATTGGGGCGTGGCACTTGGGTAGCGCTGAGCAAAAGTTAAAGGGGCAGTGCAGTGCCTGCGGGCAGGAGCTTCGATCATTTCGCGTATCATTAAAAGCCAATAAAAACACCCAATTAAATATCAAAAAATAAAACAACAAAAAGAAGAGAGAATCGAAGCAGCGAACCAATTCCCAATTGAGCCTTTCACCAGGGCTAAAAACTGAAAAAGGAACCCACAAATATACCGATATATAGATATATATGCATATATGTATATATGTGTGAGGTGTACAACATGGTCAGATATATGCTCATAAAATTGGAGCAGAATCGCGTTTCCGCTTTAGCAGATTTTCGCGCCGGGGCGACACGGCTTCTTGCCAAAATAATTACGCGTACAAAGCCATTAACAAGTACAAACGATTGCGCCGGCTACCACGTTGGCCCGATCTTGGCCAAGTTGCCAACTGGTTTCCTCGCCCAGAATGCCACACATGATGTCTGCTTGACTGGCAACAGGAGGGCAGCACTCAGGTGGCAGCTGGCAGGTGGCAGGGGCAGAGTTGGGGATGGGGCCAGAAGCAGGCGCAGTCAGTGACGTCTCAGCTGCACTTCTGATTTATTTTATTTCACAAAAAGCAACATAAATATTAAAAAAAAATTATGCGCTACAAAAATATGAAATAAACATGTGTACTATATATGTGTGTGTGGTGTAGTGGATGCTTCTTCTTCTTCATTTTTTATGTTTTTATGTGTACTTCTTCTGTTTTATTTTTTGCCTTTTTGTATTGCTTTTTGCAACTTGTTGTACGCGTTGTTTTCGAATGCTAGTTTACATTTCCTACTTAGCCATCCACTTCATTACGTTTTATTTGCGCTTAAACAATACACACTGGCACACACACACACAGCTGCAGCTGAAATTTAAACAAACATTATTGACCTTCAATGAAGGCGGCTGTCCAGTCTCAGTCTCAGCATCAGCCTCAGCTACCCAGCCCATATGCCATTCAATTCGTTTCGATTCGATTCTGAGCATTTTGCATTGGTGTCCGTAGCTGTGTGCCTGCGTGTTGCTGCGTACATTTAAACGCATGTTCGGCAAAAAGAGTGTAAAATAAAAAAAGAACCGCAATAAGCAGATAGCCAGCAGCTCATTTAGCTCAGCATCTGGCTGTTATCGCCTGTTGTTGTTTTATGAGTCAATTTAATGTCTTTGTTGCGAGCAACGCGTGCTGCTTTGTACAATTTGTATTCAGCTGCCACCCACTAGCGGCACTCAGCACTCACTCACTCACTCATTCATTGATTCATCTTAACGGAAGCGAACATAAAGAGAAAACTTGTTCGCACAGCCATCCTGATAATATGCATTCAAAAAAGCTAACACTTCCATAGAAATTGTCTGCATAACATTAAGATATTACAGATATATATATATACCATATATACAATGAAGAGAAGTTGACTCATGGCACACAACTTGTTAAGTTCATGTTCTGCTTAACAATTAAGTAAACATATTTGTCTGTCGACCCAGTTCAGTTGTGTCGCAATTCAGTTCAATGTGCCTGCCATCAGATACTCTATCTGGAAGGTCGACACAACATTTCCATTTTGTTGTTACATTAACTAGACGAGCTCGTTTGCCTTGCTGATAATTTCTCTAATCGGGCAATTTGTTTAGTGCAATATATTTGCGCACTTTTGTCAACATATTGCGGAACTATCTTTATACATCAAATATATATATATGTATTCATATGTGTGTGTGTGTGTGTGTCTGTACGTGTGTGTCTGTGCTTAACGTTCGGTCATTTATCAGCAATTGCAGTGCTTGTGGTGCTGCGGGGGCGGATCGGTCGATCGGCCACATCAGTGCCACTCAAATATGTTGGTGCATCCTTGTTGCCCGCTGCGCTTCCGTCGCCTCATCAATCTTTTAGCAAATGTGCAACTGCCACGCCCAGTTGCAACTGTCTGCCTGCGTTTCAGAGATGCGCAAACAATAAAAATATTAACATTTTAATAAAAACGAATTCGTTTACAATTTGTCACGGCTTGTGCAAGACAATGAATAAATTGAATGCACAATGAGACAAATTAAAAATATTTTTATATACATATATATATATACATATATATATAAATATAAATATAAATAAAATAAAAACAATATTGTTGAAATCCAATTAATAAATACAAAAAGGCATAAAATTAAATCATTCGCAAACAAGACAATTTTAAACATAAAAAAATATTTTTAAATAGCTTTAAAATATAAAATATAAAAGTTATAAGAAATCATATATGTATATATAAAATAAATAAAAAATCCATTAAAATATGTATAATAAATGCAATATATATATGTACTTATATTTAAATAAAATCAAAATTTATTTGCAAAAATAAAATCAAAATTTATGTTTGCCAGAAATAAAATGTATAAAATTGTATATAAAATGTGCAGCACAATTAAAATTCTATTTATTTAATTTAAAAAATATATATATTGTTCTATAAAATTAAATTGTATTATATACACATAATTTGTTACACAGAAAAGACATAAACTTCACTTTCAGCCTCAATTTGTTTAACAATTTAATTTTGTATACGTTTTTTCACTAATAATCTTATTACAACTTTATTTACTTATAAATTACAATAGTATTTATTTTAAGGTAATATTTATTTTTATATAATATAGAAACTTTAAATACTTTTCAGCAGCTGTTTTCAAATCCCCTATTTCCGTTCATAGTTTAGTTCGTACCTAAATTGCAATATAATCTTTAAGCCGGTTTACTTCCACTTTGCTTCACAAAACTGTTTAAAAAAGTTATAAATAATTTAAATAAATATTTAATAACGCTGATTCGATTATATAGCGAATCGCTCTAAAAGAGCATTTATACAGAAGATTATTAGCAACTAAGACTGTTATTATCTATAAATAAGTTTGTTTTCGAATATTTCATTGAAGACTTAATCAAGTATGTATATTGAGGAGACTCTATAATTGGCTTAAGACATCATTTGTGAATAAGGAAATAAATTAAATAACATATGTGTACGAACAATTATAAATGAAAGGCACAACAGTAACCAGCATAGGTTCGATATGTTAATCGAGCCTCTAATTCGACTATAAGTCACGGCTAACAATGCGAATGCTATGTAAATGCGGCTCATCTCCATCTCCATTTCATGCGATGACAAAACACTTCCATAACATTTCAATCTATGCACTTGACGGCTGTGCGATGCCGGCGCGAATGTTATTAAATATTATTAATTGCAATTGAGACTCGTTGCGGCAACAACAATTTGACAGCAACATAATTAAAATGTCATATACAGTTGTTGGTGTAGTTGTTGTTGTTGTTGTTGTTGTTGTTGTTGTAGTCGTTGGAGTTGTTTTCTTATAGAGAACATGCGCGTGAGACTGGCCCATTAAACAAATGTAACCGATTTCGAATTCAATTCAAAAACTGTCTACAGCTACCTATATGGAATATCAATATGCCAGTTATAAATAGCCAAACGAGTGCAATAAAATTTCTACTCAACTGGGGCTGCCTCACACTCACAAACAAACATGAATTGAAAAAAATTAAAGATATAAAATATAAAATAAAATAAAACATCTTCTAAGCCATGTCGAACATGTTTTGGTTCAAACGCATGAATGAAATATCCATAAAGAAGTTAAATTTTCATTAGAGAAACGGTTTGATTCTTATGCTAAACTGATTCATATGCTGATCAATCTGCGCATGATATATGCACGCGCACACACACGCACAAACGCACACACGCACACGCGCTCTTTAGAAGTTAGCATATTGATTTTTGCTGATATGGATGCTGTTTGTCTGGGCCTGGTTACCTTTTATGCTCTGCACTTATTAGAAAGTGGGTAGGCAGAGTTTTATAGTGAATTTGACATATATATATAATGAATTTGAATATATTTACATACATGCATATGTATATATTCCTCATCAAGAACAAAAGCTGATGCAATCTAGACTCACCTATCTATTTGCTTAGATATGCATATTTAAAATATATAGATCTAGAATCGATAGAGAAAGAGCCTAGAGAGAGAATCGACAAATTTATTACCTTCACAATAAATTTGTCTATCTTATCGATAACATATTACTATCGATCATTTTCGATGCTCATTTCAGCTGGCATCTAGCTTACATTTGTCTGCAGTTCAAGCACTTGCTGAGTATCTGTCAGTCGTTCATTGCTGACCTAGGTAGTCAATATGCTGTTTGAACTTGTGCCGGCACAGAAATCGAAACTCAATAGTGAAACATCGCAACATCGGACACATGCGCAAAGCACACACCTTCATTAATTCGCTTTTTGGTAGCCAAGTGATTTTCATTAAAAAGCCGTCAGCGTACAATAAATTTTGAGCCGTTTTTTTTGTATCTTGTTTATTTTTTATTTTTTGCTTTTTTATATCATCATTTTTTGCGCCTTGCTGTGCGCCTTGTTTTTGGCTGGCTCTCGTAGTTGGCTTCATTATGGAGGCGATCGCTGAATGTATTTATTTAGCACGGCGACAGGCGACAGAACATAATTCCAATGCTCTTTATCGCGATTGAATACATATATTTATTTATATATATGCTGATTTTGAATGTGGCAATATTTGATTTATGTGAATTGTGCTGCATGTTGTGCTTGTTATCTGTATCAGCGCGCATTTGAAGTATCAAGAGACAGAGTTGAAGAACAGCTTAATCAAAGCTGATGTTTTGCTCACGCATAATTTATCAACTGCTGTCAGCCGGAAAAGATAAACAAGCACAGCCATAATATATAAGGCCCAATACAATGTGCTCAAATTAACAAACTATTATTATTAGCTGGCTCACTAACGGTTCCCGGTCGACGCGCTCGTGGTGGTCCCCACATCCACTGCTTGTCGACACGCTCGACAGTCGTTCGCCTTGAGAGGGGCCTGCTTGATTCAACTGCCACTGTTCCATTTGATATCATAATCACACTGATATACAACATACTTAAGCCCAAATTTATATACATCTACAAAATAGTTGTTATCTAGGTGACTTATCTAGTCGATTGTTAGTCAGATTTTACAGATAGGTACAGAACATAATAATGTACTAAAGGCCACGCTTGGCGGAGCTTGAGCTCTGCGGAAGTTTCAGCCAAAGTCTAAACTATTTTAATACACATCAAATCATAGCACTTGTCTGACATGACTTGACGGCCAAAGACCGAAGCTCAGATACACTTCTTTTAACATGTGACTTAAACTTATGCAGAGACTCAGCTCATAATATAGAGAAGATAAAATAATTAATGCAAGAAAGCTGCTTAATCGGACCATTCAAAATTTTGATCATATTTTCAATTTCATTTCAACTTTTCAAATTTATTTATACATTTTTATTAAATCCAACAATTTGGGGGAATCGTAATTAAAATAAATATTTTATTAAGATTTTATGCTTTATTTTATAAATATATATACATATAAATATAAATAGCTTATAGCTGGACTCACTTATTTGCTAATTTAATTTTTGTGCCTCAAAATACATTGTGTTGAGTTTAGTCTTAGGCTTAAAGCAATCAGCCATTGTCTTCGTATGTTCTCTATATTACTATTATTCAACATTGCACATTTCATTCATTATAGTGCTTCAGAGCATGAAAGAACTGTATCTTCTATCTGTATCTTCTACAGTTTTTTGGCAAGAACTACAAATTATGGCAAGTCGATTAGTGCCGAGCTCCATTTCCCCTTTAGGCTCTAGCTTATGCAGCTATGGGCTTGTCTCTAATTGAAAACTATCAATATTTAACTAAATTATGTTTATCTCGAGATGTTTATGCTATTAACTGAGCTCTTTCTTAATATTATTATTAATATTAAAAACAAAAAGAAATTTAGCGTGGTAATCTTAGAACATTTCCAATAGCCTTAAACCACTCGTGACAAACTGATTAACATAGCCGGTGAGGTTTCAGTCAACAACAAATATTGTGCTAAATTTCATAGTTTTTTTAGTGTTATTAATAACCAGCGCTGTGAACCGAAATGAATTGAACTACAAACTGTCTGCGAAACCAGTTCATCCATTGTTAAAAAAAAATGCAAAGCACCTGCTTGTCCAGTTAGTCTATCTAATATTACTAATATAATATAATAATATTACTACGGAGCGTCTGTTTGGGTACAATGTGATTTTGATTACGTATTACATATTAAAGATAATAGAGCACTAAAATATTTGTATGAACGGCGTCCAGATACTGCACGGTTATCTTTTTCGGAGGTATGTTTGCATCGCTTTACAGAATCCAACACAAGGAGTGAAACAACCAGGCCGAAGGCTGTTAAGTACAAGGCAGACAGAAATCTCTCGTTTGATTGAGTATTGAAAAACGGCAATGGAACTGCATCCACGTCAATAGTGCTGACAATGGGCACTGGCTTCCCGGCTGGGAGAAGGCGCACTCCTCTCACCCTAACCAACTGATTCTTACTCAAAGTTGGGGAAACGCTAAAACGCATATCATGTCCGAATTGCTTATGTCGCACTGCCGCCTGGTACCTGACCCAGGATTTATGTACATTTTTGTTCATATAACAAGTTTCTACGGGCGCTATTGCGCGATAGCGCGACCTTAACCGATTGTTATAGTGATCGCGTGAAGCTCGTTTATAGAGAACCCTGTATGCCTCGCAAACCTTGACAAACTCGTCAGAATCGTGCGTACCACTGTTGCCATCGGGGTGGTATTTCTTCGATAGCGCAAAGAACGCTTGCTTAATCTCCTTGCCGCTCGAATTCAGGGGCACCTTGAGTACATCGTAATAACTTCGAGAGTATGCCTGCAAATTGTGACCGTATATCGAATGATACGACGCCATGAAACGCACCGGAATGACCACGTTACTTTGCACACATTTCAGCATTTTCTATCTCGCTAGTTACTATTTTGCTATAATTTGAATATCGAAATGTGTCAATACTAAAGATTTAGTTTCCTTAGGACTTAATTTAAAACTTTTCTAGGTGTGGTGATACTGCTGTTCAACCGTGTGCATTTAAAAGTAACAATAATTTGTAATTCAAAAATTCCGACAATCGAACTGGAGTTGAGAGAAATTGAAAAGTAACTGATACCTGACCCTAAAAATCTTTCAACTGATTATTCGACATGAATTTGAAAAGTTTCTGCGTATCTATTTAAAAACCTATTAGCTGAGCTAGTCAACTGTTGTATGTACATAAACTTATCTGAGCATTTCTATAGTATCAGCATACAGATTCTTGATCAGCGCGACAAGCTGAGTCAACACAATGATATTTGCCTGCATTTGTGACCTGTCGAGCATCTGTCTGAAAACGTTGATCTCGAAAGCTATCATTACTACTACTTCTCTTACTACTACGTTTTTTCTCTAGTTCCATTTCCTTTATATATATAAACAAGGCTTAGAATGTGGTTCTTAGCGCATAGTTGAGTCACTAATACATGCAAAAAAATATGTTAAAATATTGCTCATTTCTATTTGGATGAAACTTGCACTCAGACAAATTCATTAGCCAAGCACATCTATAAGCTTAGTTACTTACTTACTAATATTCCACAGATTGGGGTCTATAGGTAGATAATGGAGTAGGCACAGCTGAGCTACAGGCGAGCCAGAGTATTTCTACTTGCTTTATCTTAGTAGATAACTAGAAGATATCTGCTAAACAGGCAGCTCCAACTAGAGCAGCAGACTAGACAGGGTATCTGACAATCAGACACTCCCAACAAGAACACCTCTACTTATTTAATCTAAATATTTATACCAGAAGACTAGTAACTCTAGTCGGGTATTTCCTAGTATAAAACCTTTACTTGCGCTGCCCAAGTATTTATACCTGAAGATTAGACTGGAGAGTCAGACACTCCCAACTAGAACATATCTATATTAAATAAGGATTCACAGTAGAAGACAAGATTGGATATCTGCTAATCGGTCACTGCTCGCTAGACCACACTTAACTGACCTTAACCTATATGTAGAGTAACAGTAGTGCCAAATAGGCTTACATATGGGGCAACAGACGATTTTTGTCAACGCCTCGACCCTGGCCAAGCCCGTAAAGTTAGCCTAATATTTAACTGCCATGCTGACCTTAAGCCAGGTGCCAACGAACTCGGCAATGAATCAAAATCAAATCCAGTCCAATTCTGAGCTTGTGTCGCACTCTATTTGGACAGGCCCAATAGACTTAATATTGACCCAGAAATACAAGATGCGTGGGCGGGGCGATACGAGGCGGGGTGACGTCGGTTCGTGGCGAGCTTGTGCGATAAACAATTCCATTGAACTTGGCTTTTACAGCGCCAATGAGCAATTGCTTTCGTAGTTACTGTCAAATAATATTTGCGAATCTTATTAACAAAACTTTTATTGAGCTGGCCGAAAAGCGTTGACAATTTCATGCGAATTTCAATGCCAGCAAAATATTTGCACAGCCGAACACAAAGTTGGACTGACGTATAAATTATAAATTTATCAAATTACTCATTATATTTACATTAAGCAACAATCTGCAGCTCATTCATGAAAACAACAAAGTCTTGGAGAGAAACCCAATTAGTGTGAACATAAATGAAATCCGAAATGAAAATATTTTATTGTTCATTAGAAAAGACATTTGGCATTTGATAGCTGCGAGATGTGTGTGTCTCAGAAGTTCGCTTGCTAATTGGTAAGAGCAAGCGAGTGGCTGTCTCTTTGTAGCGTAGCACATTTGACACCTTGGCTGAATTTGGTACCACTGTGCAGCGACTGTTTGCCATAAAGCATCAACTGATCATATTCAATATGTTAATTGATACTAAAAACTCTTAAGAGAAACACAAAACAACTCAGCGAATGAACAAAAAAGCTGGCATTTAAAAATTGAACAGTCCCCAAGCCCAAAAGCCCCGCACAAAAGCCTAGAGCCAGAGCCAGAGTCAGAGCCAGACCCAGACCCAGTTTTAGCCCAACACAAGCGCTTAGCGAAAGCCCTGACCAAAATGCAAAAAATAAGCAATAATAATTGGAAACAGGTTCTATTGTAGAACTAGCTGACAAGTTTCATAATATAAAGCCAATCCCAAGATATACGATATACGATATACGACAACTCTAGACTGGTTGTCTCCGCCGAACGCTGGCTCATTTATCTAAGTAAACATTAAATGATATTCAGCTAGTTTTTTTCTTTTCTTTTCTTTTCTTTTTCCTTTAGTTATACTCTCTCGGACTGACAAAGTTTCTATGGCAACATAATTGAGTCTATAAACCATATGTTTCCTTCATTCTCTGACTAGGCTTCAACAATCGAGTATTTGTGATAGACTATCTATGTATATATGGGCAGATCTGCAGAGTATATCAGATAGTTGCTGAAGAAATCTGTAGTCATAAATTTGGCCAAATAGTAAAGAAACATCATCAATCTAAAATTATTAAAAATATTTCTGCTTCCTCGCTCTTTTAAGTAACTATCTTAACCCAGCTAGGAAACTTCTTATGTCTAAAGAACTTAAAAAAGTCTTCTGTGTTCCTTTTCTTTTCTTTATATAGTAATATTAATAATAGTATAATAATAGCATAAAATTTAAGTAATACTTACAAGTTTTAATGCTTATTCTAACATATCTGATGCAGTCAAAGCTCCGCAATACGATTTCTTTGTCAGCTTCAATTCAAAACTTGCTTAAAATTGTGCATGGTGCAAAAACCACTTAAATTAATCAAACATTAATATTTTCGAATATCTTCAATAAGCGAGACAACATATAGCTTAGAGTGCTAAAACGGGTTAACAGTGATCCACCTGCAAGCCAGAGTAATTCATTTTGTACAGCAGCACAACCAAACACCCAATGGTCGAATATATATAATTGTGCCATCTATATAGTCAGTTACTTAACCGCTTTAGCTGTAAAACTGTACCAGCTACAGGCGGACATTCCATCAAATCAATAAACTCTTTGCACTTGAAGCACGAATATACAAATTATGAATTGACAAACCTAAGAACATTAAATTCATTATGTTTTTATGTGTGTATGTATATGTGTATCTATGTATTTATATTAGATATAAATTAGTATATCCGCCAGAGCATTTCATCTTCGGCGTTTCGATCTTAGCCGTGCCTTCGTCATTCGTTTAAGTTTTGTGATTCTTTTTTGTATTTTATTATTTTCATTTTGTCCGAAAGTCTTCTGCATTTGCTGACGGTCTGTCTGTCGGGTCTGTCATTAGATTTTAATGTTGGGTCAATGGACAGAGCTTGAGCTGGCTTGGCTCTGAGCGAGGGTTGGGGCGGGGAGCGCATAGTTTATCGATTCGATTTGCCTGGTCTTTAAGCAATTTGAATAATTCATGTGTCAAGTTGAAGGCTGGTTTATGCAGCCTTTCGCGTGTAAACAGCATCCAATTCAACATCTTAGATCGCTAGATTATCTTTTCGATTGTCGTTTCAATTAAAGCTGAAGCTGAAAGTGTGCAAAAACCGGCTAGGAACGGAAATACACTTGCCAAGAGCCGACAGTCTTGAAAACGATATGGAAACAAATATGAATCGTTTGTTAGTTGAAGTGTTTTTTTAATCAAGAAAATAGCATTTTTTATCAGTTTTTAGAGTGGCGCTACATGATTAGGAGTTTGTTTTATAGTTTAAGTGAAAGACGATTCGATTTGTGAGGGTGTCCAGCACGCTGCTCCCAACTCAATCAGCCTTCGTTCGCAAATTCGTTTAAGTCTATGCATATTGTATGCATATGTCCAGTTCTTATAGCCTATATAGCTTTGCTGCTTATTGTCTCTGGCAACCTGAGCTTAAGTCAAGGTACCACGTTGATCTCGCCTCCCGCTTGCTTCACCTCAAATTCAGACTTTGTGTTGCTTAGTTTTTTTCCTTTTCTTTCTTGGAAGTGTACGTTTTGGAAGTATTTCGTTTAGTTTGTGCAGCTACTTAGGGGTAAAGAGTTATTTGGATTGAAATCTTCACAGATAGTTGGGGCTAGACGTCGCTTAGGCGCTGATGAGCCAGGTCTTAAGGTAGACAAACGCCGAGGTGGCCACGTGTGTTAACTGCTGCGCAAATGCTGCAAGAGAAGATAGAAGAACATAAACTTTATTAGATACGCCAGGGATTAAGCTCTTTTATGTGCGGAAATAAAACGAACAACGACGGCCACTGCAATGCCAAGTAATTTACATTTACATTTTAAATGCCGACGACTGAGGCCCCTAATGGAAATGCATCCATTTAAAGCAACTCTTGCTAACCGGGCTGCCACGTCTACCAGGTCTACCCGGTCTACCAGAGCTCGGCCAGATTTTACGACTAACGAAATTGCGGACAGTAAAGCCGTGGCGAGAGTCCACATGAAATTGACAAATGTTCTGGCTTACAGAGGCACAGCTTCCACAAGTCAGGGGGTCAGAGCGATAGGGGTACTCCCCTTTACACTTCAAACTTAAGTTGATTAATTGGAGCTTAAGGCTTTCGGCTGCACACGGAAGCTAATTGCAGTTGAATTTATGTGCATATTAAATACAATATTCAATGCTTGGCTAATGCGCATAAGTCGGCCATAAATAAGCGATTTTATTTGGTGTTTATCATTTCAACGCTTTGTTGTTTTCTTTTTATTATTTTTATTGATTCGATGTAAAGCTGCAGTGTCTCGTAATTAGCAGGCCATAAAGCAAGCTACACAGCCTAGAGTTTCCTGAAATTATGAGTAATTGCTGAATAACACGAATAACATTTATTAAAACTTAACTGGTGACAGTATTCTAGCAGGGAGTGACTGACTAGGGTATACACAGTCGAGAGTGCCTGACTCGAATATACCCAGCCTTTGCTTCGCTTCTCTTCTCCCTTCTCTCTTCTCTCTTCTCTTCTATTCGCTTCACAAATAAAAGTACACAACTTTAGTTTGTTTAATACATGATACATAAGTTTTATTTGACTTATATTCATCTTGTTTCGATATACAATATATTCGTATAATATAATTTCACTTAGATTTTTGTTCATTTTCTTTTATAAATTTTACTTTAAATTGTTTACAGTTTTTTCTTTGTGTTTTCCATTTTCTGGTAGATTTTTACTTTTGGTTTTTGGTTTTTGTTTCCTCGAAGTATAGCAAATTGTATTTAGCAATTGTTCATGAGTGATTTTACTATTTCTTTATTATTTTTTAGCAGAATTGATTTTTGTGTGTTTCTTGTTAGATTACATATAGTATAATTTACATATATATATATATGTATATATAAATATTCAGTAAAATGATCCCTACTTTTTGTATGCTCATGACATAATTATCTATATGTATCTATATGTAGCTTGTGTATACAGAGTTTCTTTTTTGTTGTATTTCCTTTATATCTTAAGACATTAATTATATACTTTGTGTATGTATGTATGTGTGTGTGTGTATTTCTTTTATGTGTCTGCGTGTTTGCTTTTCCATTAAATTTAAAGTAATTTCTGCGACAATAATAATTATAATTGTAATTCATCGTTCGACTATAGACACATACATAAACAAATGCATTTCCATAACAATCTTAATATACAAATACAATTTTTGCTGAACACTAAAGCGCCTTCACAAAGGAATTCCCAACTAAACTGGAGCTGCCATATGCTTTATATAATACATACATATATATCTGCGGATATATATATATATCTGTCTGTATTTTATCTAAATTTGATTTATTTTCATTTAATTATGTTCTTTTTAGTTGTTGCTTGACATTGAAAGTTTTGCTGCTGCTTAGCTATTATTATTAGAGTTATTATGGTGAGCATCCGAGAGATTGGTTGAGGGTATATTATTTATGGAAATAATTCTATTATTATCTCTTCTGGTTTAACTTCTGTGTGGCAACTACTGTGCTGCATTTGGAAACTGAGGAGCAGACTGGAAAATAGGAGTTAGCTTTAATGGAAATTATATCGAAATGCTTGGCATGATTAAAAGCTACAGTTGGTTTCGAGTCGTGCATGTTGACACAACATAGTCATAATTATATTTATATTTAAATTAGTTTTCTTCTTCGTTTTTATTTTATTCATTTATTTACTTCTTTTTGTCTCTGTTTTGGCTTTTATTACCACTAACAAGTAAGAACACATATTTAACCACAATTTGTTTTTTTTTTAGTTTTTTTTTTTTCATTTAGCAACACTTTTACACAGTTACAGTTACATTTATATATATGTATATATATATTTGTTTTTGTTTTTGTTTTTGTTGAGTCGCTTAATTTTTACAAATTGCCTACTTAAAAAGTCATAAATCAGAGCCTTACACTTGCAGCTAAATATTATTATTATAATTAATTCATTTAGCTTATTACAATTTATTTGTTTCTTTTTTTATTAGTTTTTATTTTGAATTTAGTAGTATATAATTAAACTAAATAAACAATAGGCCATATATTGATATGTATTTGATTTTTACACTTAAAAAAAAGACGTGATCAAACATGCTTTTACATTCTCGTTAAGTAATCGTGTTAATTATGTTATTTTATTATTTATGTTTTTTTTAGTAAATTGTTACCTTTTGTGTTTGGTTTTGGGTTAAATGTATTGTATTGTTCTTGTTAGATAATTATTTTTGGTATGTTTAATCTTCAAATGCATTCCTGTGCTTGGCTTTTAACATTGTGTATTTGTGTGTGTTAATATCATTTGTTTTCGCTTTCTTTTTGTTTGTTTTTTTTTTTTTGGTAATGCTTTAAGTAATTCTGCATTGATCGCATTTAACAATCAATTTAACATTCATTTTACACTTGTCGTCTACCAACTAGAACTGTGTTTTTATTATCAGATGTCGTAGCTGATATAATTAGTAACGATTTCTTAATACCATAAAAACCAAAGAATTTAATTATTGTATTTCTATTTGTGAGAAAAGTGAAACAAGGAACAACTCAGGCAAAATCCAATGAAAATCTTTTTGTTTTTCTCTCTATTTATTATTTTCCTATAGACACTTAACTAGTTTATAAGTCGGATTTGGAGAGGGCGTGAAGTGGGCGTGGCTAATTGAGTGTGTGTGTGTGTGTGTGTGTGAAGTTTTGAATGTAAACAGCATTTATATCAATTATTTGCATTATTATCATAAGTATATGTTTAGTATATATATATATATATATATATATATATATATATATTTATCTATTAGCACTATAATGTATACTATATATAAATTCTTTTACAAATAGCAGACTACAATATCAAAAGCACACTGTGGATATATTTGGAGTGCTCTTCACTATTAATTTCATATATATATATATATATATATATGTATATATATATAGATATATATAGATGCTTGGAAGAACGGCAACAGAAAATATCAAAACATTTTAAATCAAATATCAAATTTATTTTTATTTTTACCAAATTATTGTAGATGCAAGATGCGCGTGTGTGTCTGTGTAAGGGTGTGTGTGTGCGTGTCGTCATGTATATAAAAAATTTAGATCTATAAGCATAACACTTGGAATTTGTCTCTCATTCGTTATCTCCATTTGCTTCTAAGGCGAAATATTATATTGTCAATTCTTTGGCTTGAGCCGAAAACCATGCAAAATGACAAAATATATATTTCTCAGAGGATGTGGGTGGGTAGGAAGAAGAGTAGGAGTTAGGGGAGGGTGGGGCAGTGGGTTCGATTTGAAACAGAAAAATGGAAATGCGTACAACATTTAAATAGTAAAAATAATTGCAATCTTTACACATTCGATATTAGATCTCGCTTGAAGAAGGCAAAAAGTAAATTCCTTAATTCTTATCATTTATCGCTAAGTTCTACACATTGAGTTGCTGGATTAGGCGTATGCCGTCGAGGAGCTGGAGTCCTTTGGCCTTGGAGGTGCGCCAAGAACTCGTCCTCGCAGCGGCCACGCCGCAAAGCCGGGCAGCCGGTTTTCATAGAACAGGGAATACCCCTAACATGTTAAATTCTTAAAAGTTTTGTGCACTTGTGTTTTGACGGGGCGAAATCATGGCTAAAATGGGGCGCGGGAATCTTCTTTACTCGTTTAAAGCTAATTTTTATTTGGAGTTAACAAATTTTGGTATTTTAATTTCGATTTCCTTTGCTTAATATTTATTTAACTCTGGCCTTACATTGTTTTCAATACGCAGTAAAAAATGTTTAATATTTCTCATTTAGTTTCTTTAATTATTTGTATTTTTTTAATTAGTATTTTTAATGCATTTGCTTTGGTTTTTGTTTTTTTTTTTTCGGCTTGCCTTGCATGGTATAAAAATATAAATGTTCACATATACTTAAAAATCGTTAAGTTCTTACACTTTCATCAAAATTGTGTGTGTTTATTTTAAAAAAGTAATTGAATCGATTTGATAATTTTTAAAATTAGGAATGAGTTCATAATATTGTTAATTAATTACGTTTAGATACGAATGTGGCTTGCAATATACTTGATTATAATCAAAGATGCATTTCATCTTGTTGTAGGGCAATGTTCAATTACTTAACTAACTTTTATTTGTTTATATGTTCTTGTGTTTTAGAATATTTTTGTTTAGCAATATTTATTTATTATTATTTTGCTTTTGTTTTTATGGATATAGTTTCATAAGTGAGCTTTACTATCGTTGCTTGACCTTTGGTGTTCTAGTAATAGTTTGTGTGTTCTCAGAATATAACAGAATAGTTAATAGTTTATTAGTTTCTTTTTTTGCTTTTGTTTTGTTACTTTTGCACGCTTAAACTAAATGTGAGTCCAGCATTTGGCAGGTTGGTTCAACAAGAGCCGCGGCCACCAAACCTAGTTTCGTAGGGTTAGCAATTTGTTCTACTTGGCTCGACAGCTGTCCTTGCGCTAAGCCAACCTTTACTATAAATAATTTTGTTCATAATTTCTGTTTCTGTTTCGGTTTTATTTTAAATTTCACATTGAATTTTGTTCCTAGTTGCTACAGTTGAAAGCGAACATCGCTCAAATAGGCATTAGACCACATGACATATACAGATATATATATATTTAGAGATATATATATATACTATATAGAATTCATTTTGCTTACAGCTAAAAATAATATTGTTTCTTCATTCGATATAGACAAGAAACAGTTACTGCTCTCACTTACTTGTTATTATATCTTTACTTTATTAATTGTTTGTCTGTTCTTTAGAAGTCCAATACTTGTTTTCCATTTACTTTATTTTAGCTGTATGCGTGTAGGTGTGTTTTTTAATAAAAATAACTTAGTTAATATCAGTGTGGCTTAGGTTAGATTAATTTCGAAAATGTTCGCTCTCAATAGTTGCTGTTGTTGTTGTTAATACATATATAAATGTATATATACGAGTACTGATATGCCCTTAAGAGTTATGATTCATTCTAAACGCGCTCAATTAGTTTCATACGTACACCGAGCTATGTAAGTATGTATATATATGTATATATATATGACAATTACTTGATTAATTCATTTAGATATATATATATATATATCTATATATATAGATTTATATTCATTTATAGATATAGGCATACCAAACTTTAATATACAGCACATTTGTTTTTGTTTCTGGTTCGAATTTCGCTAAGTGTATAAAACTTTTAGTTATTCCATTTATATTTTAGTTTCATATTCTTTTTTGGTAGTCTCTAAGCCAATTTGTAAAACGTTTAGTACAAATGCAATAATACATGTACATACATATATGTATACTATATATATATAGATGTATTACATTTATTGTATGTATATATTTATATATATATATATATATATATATATATATATATGCTCATATAATATATATATATATTTATATATATACTGATATGTTTTGCCATTTAAATGTTTCATTAGGTTTCCTACAAACTTGATTTTCGTATTCATTTTCCCACCGATTTTTCGAGTAATCAGTTTTCAATCCATTTTGCGGGCTGCCTTTTACAAAAAACTTGCAAATCTTTCACTAAAACTCTCTCATATCCTCTGAACAATACAAATTTTACTAATTGTTTCTTTTTGTTTTTGTTTGCTTTTTTATTTCATTTCCAAATTTCGTCATAAGAACTTTTTTTGGTGTGCCCAAAGTGCAAAAGAAAACAGAAATATATATGCCAAGATTAAATACATATATATATATATATATATATATGACAAAAATAATGAACCATGCCCAACGGAAAGCTGAAACCAATGCATTTTTGGCCAAGTTTCATTGGGTCTATCAAAAAATCAATTCAAAATTTTGGGGTTTACGGCCTGGGCAGAGTTTTGGACCCATGCCAGCTGGCAAAATATGCAAACTCTGAGCGAGTATTTATATAATTGGTTTTCTGCTTGTTCTTGGATTGTTTATGCCCGGCTGACTGGCTGGCTGGCATGACAAACGTTCAATTTATCAAAATTGTTTTTTTTTTTTTTCGCTTGATTAATTTCTCAGTTTAGCTTCCTTTTTTTGGTTTATGTCTCATTGGGGCCTGGGTTTTTGGGGCCTCTTTTTGGGTCTCTGTTTTTTATACAAACTAAGCAAATTGCTGCGGCGTGCTACAAAAGTGTCTCAAGGTGTGTGCGTGTGTGACTGTGTGTGTATCTATGGAAATAAAAGAAGTACGCGCAGCTACTGTGGCTGCTCTTGATATGTGTGCGTGTGTCTGTGTGTCTCTCTGTTTGTGTGTGGGGCAAGCCGCGTGCTAAAGTGTCTACCTGCTTGCACTTGGCAAGTGGTTTAAACTAACAACTACAACAAATGCCAAACTCCTGCTCCCGCTCAATGCAGTTGCATGCAACACTAAATTCATTTACAAATCATTTGGCCAAGTTACAAAAGCATGGCTCCAATTCTAAAACTCTGTCGCTCTCTCCTCAGCTCGCTGTCTCCTCCGGTTGCTAAACATTATATTTTTACTTATGGGGCGTGGTGTGGTGAGAATTTCTTTTAGAAAACTCCTTTAAGCCGCAGCACGGCGCACATGTAGAGCACGAGTCCCAGTCCAAGCAGCTGCACGCGGGGCGTTATGGAAGCACTGCCCGAATCGCAGTCTGAGCCTGAAATTAACCGAGAGAACATGTTGTTTAGCATATGTCGAGTATTAGGGATAGAAAAGCAGTTTATAGTTTAAAAATGATTTGATTTAATGAGTTTATGGGTCGGCTCTGAAAAGAAAAATTCTTTTTTTTTTGCTCAATGTTTGTCGAGGCCTGCTTGGTCTACTTGAAAGCAAAATCATACTCTCCTTCGGTGGCCTAAGCTATAATCTTTTTTTTTTCAATAATAATTTGAATTAAGAACTGAAAACTTTTTGCCAATTTGTAAATCATAAAACAATTAAAAGCAAGCATTTGGGATTTTTTTTGGTGCGATTTTTGGTGCATTGAAATAAAGAGATCGATAGATCGATAAGCAACTTAAACGAATTTCACGCGAACTTACCTTAACTACAATTCCTAGCAATTTGTCTGCGTTTTCTTTTCTTTTTTTTAATCTTTTTTTAAATCTGTTATTGAAATACAGAATTTATAACCGATTTGTGTGCTAATTAATTGCAGAACTCGTTCGTCAACACCGAGATCCGATCAAATTTCAGTTTTGCCCAAAAGAAATCAAGACTGTCCAACAAGATACACAAACAGCACTGTCGCGATTGTCAACTGCTTGTATAGCCATATAAATACATTGTATCTGGCAAACTTGTTTTCGATTCGGACAAAACCAAAGTCAAATCTTAAAGCCGGCCGGTATAGTTCAGTAACAATCGCCTCACTATATAAAATCGTACTTATCGCGAGTGTTTTTATTAAAGTGCATGTGCGGGTTCTATAGAAATCAAAATTAATTTTTAATTTGTTTCTCAAGCAGCAAACATAAATAAAGAAATAATAAGTAACGAAAAAGTCAATAGCCGACTGCGTAATACTCGCTCACAAACTTAGAACTTAGCTTACACAGAAATCTAGAACTTAAATTGAGAGAACAGAGCTTATACTGCAGAACTTTTTGATTCTCATTCTTTAAACCTGTTTAAGATACAGCCTCACAGACAAGCGGACAACAAGACTAAAATATCTATATGCCTATCTATATGTATCTATAACTCTATTATTATGTATACCTTAGGAATAGATTGAACTAGCTCTTAACTCACTCAATTCACATTTCCTCTGTAAGTCGCAGCAACATACAATATCTTTGCCTTGATGTTACTTACAGATACATTTGTTTAGCCGAGCAATAAATACATTTTTAATCTCTCAATTTTGATCTTTTGTTCCAGCTAATTAACCCAATAACTTTTATTTTTTCTATATCTGAGCAAAACCAATAAATCTGCAAGATATGTGCCTATCTTTCAATCAGTAAACGCAGATACTTTTTATCAAATCTTAATATAAGCAAAACATATCAATTTCAAAATCAAAGCTGCAATAATAAATATACAATATAAATATAATTAATATATATCTATATATATATATATATATGTGTATATATATATACATATTGTATCTTTTGCTAGACCGCAGGGCAAGCGTGTCGCGTGCATTTAATGCCCGCTAATTTGAATTTAAAAGGCTGACCAATTCGTAGATTATATGCGCAGATAATCAAGAAATAAATTGGCACAAGCGAGCGCGACAAATACGAAATAAAAGGAGAGAGATAAGCAAATAACATAAATAAAAGCTACAAAACAATGTGAACATTTGAAACACGTGTCGCTAAAAGCAGCGCAAGTCAAACAAAACGTAACCGCAGCGCAACGCAGCGCAGCAAATCAAAGAGAAAAGGCCACGCTATAATAGCTTATACAAATGCAAAAGATACAAAGATACAACATTTTGTATGGCAACAGCGCGTTTTTTTCTTTTTGTTGGGCATCGAGTATCGGATATCGATGTCAGGCATCGGGCTTGAATTATGGTAAACAGCATATGTATCTGTATCTGTATCTGTATCTGTATCTGTATATGTATCTGTAAATGTATCTGTATCTGTATCTGTATCTGTATCTGTATCTGTAAATGTATCTGTATCTGTATCTGTATCTGTATCTGTATCTGTATCTGTATATGTATCTGTAAATGTATCTGTATCTGTATCTGTATCTGTATCTGTATCTGTATCTGTATCTGTATCTGTATCTGTATCTGTATCTGTATCTGTATCTGTATCTGTATCTGTATCTGTATCTGTATCTGTATCTGTATCTGTATCTGTATCTGTATCTGTATCTGTATCTGTATCTGTATCTGTATCTGTATCTGTATCTGTATCTGTATCTGTATCTGTATCTGTATCTGTATCTGTATCTGTATCTGTATCTGTATCTGTATCTGTATCTGTATCTGTATCTGTATCTGTATCTGTATCTGTATCTGTATCTGTATCTGTATCTGTATCTGTATCTGTATCTGTATCTGTATCTGTATCTGTATCTGTATCTGTATCTGTATCTGTATCTGTATCTGTATCTGTATCTGTATCTGTATCTGTATCTGTATCTGTATCTGTATCTGTATCTGTATCTGTATCTGTATCTGTATCTGTATCTGTATCTGTATCTGTATCTGTATCTGTATCTGTATCTGTATCTGTATCTGTATCTGTATCTGTATCTGTATCTGTATCTGTATCTGTATCTGTATCTATATCTTAATTTGAATCGGTGTCGTTCTGCGAATCTTTTAATTTCATTGTTGCTCTAGCTTTATTTGTCGCTGGAGATATCTTTTGCCAGGTCGTAAGCCTCGGCCTGTCACTTCTGTGAGCTGTCATTAATGATAAACTGATCGAGTGTGTGTGGTGCCAGGTAGTCTGGTGCGCTCAGGACGAGGCGCGTTACCAGTTCTGATCTGCTTTTTGTTCTTTCAAATGGATTAGCACACATATAGCGCTGGCATTTTTCGGTGAAATTTTAAATGCTCATTATGGCAAATGAGGCGCGTGTTGGCAAGCGCTCCTCCGCGCTGCCCATTAAATATATCAACCGCTACATATCAAAATGCAAATTAATTAATTAGCCATAGAACCGGTAACCACAATGAATCGCCGCACCACCGTCACCAGCATCAGCAGTTGGCAGCGTGGCTCAGCTTTTACTTGTGGGCCAGTTTTGCGCCTCATCGCTCAGTTACAGGCCCTAGCATGAACGATTCCCGCCAGCATCGGCTCACCAGTCACCGGCACAGCCCATTTGCTCAGAGGGGAGCCCCGTGGGCCGCGTACATTTGCATACTCGAACTGTTGGCTTTTATGTAAAGTCGTGAACAAAAATCAAAGTTAGCCACAACGGCAAGCATCAACTGGCCGAATATTGAATACCCTTACAAAGAGCTCCTAATATTTGGCTACCTTTTCTACTTCTACTTCTGCAGATGATTGGATGGCATTTGTATGAGATAATGCTGCTTTGATATCTTTATATTCTGCAATTTTTTGATTCAACTGAAAATTAGTCCAGCACAGATGCTTCTCATTATGCGTTACACGACTCGTGAGCGAATTGAAATATTCTGCGAAAGCGTATGAAAAAGAAGTTGAACAATAATAGCACACACATTCACACAACATACGAAATTAACATAAATTAAATTTTATTAATTTGTGAAACACTAATTTGCCTTTTGTATCAGATCGACGAGAGCCGTAGAGAGCCCAGAGACTAAAAACCTAACCAGACCAGACATCTTGGCGCGACAAAAGTCGTTTCAATCAGCAACAGCTACAACTACAGCGTCTCCGATTGCGACTGCGACTGCGAGTCATCTTTCACCTGACACCATAAAACTTGTCCACGCATTTTAATGGGCCACAAGACTGACAAATGAATTAAAAGTAACTTTTACATTCTGCTGACGCCCACCTTTACTAATGCATATTAGCAAGTTTTGTGCCGAGTTGGACTTCGCTTTACTAAACTTTATATATACTCCTCTATATATATATATTCTTATATACATATATAAGAGGCTTGATTTATCATTGTCAGCTGGTGCGCATATGCATATGCATGCTGTGGTCGCTTATTGCTTATTTAAATTTCATTTCTCGGCCAGAGAGTTGGTCAGTTAGCCAGTTAGCCGGTGACTCTGTTCACGTCTGAGAAACTGAGAAACTGAGACTGCGAAACTCATTTCACTGATTGATGAGCACATTTTAAGATACTGACATCAACCATAAATAAAATTGTGAACGCTGCTACGCATAAATGCAATAAATTAAAAAAGAGCAAAACTATAAAAATCTTTCACCGGAATGAAATGCCAAAAAAAAAAAAAACATAAATTGCCACGAGTCTGACTCATGATTGCGACTAACTGCCAAAAGAAATAAAACATATACACTATATATACATTATATATACACTATGTATATATACATATAACTGTAATTGTTTGATACTCAATCAATCTGACGCATAAATGGAACGCGCTTCTGCATGAGACTGGCAAGTTTAATGCTAATTGAAACGCACTGCCAGCCGCGATCAGAGAAAATAAATTTTATACACATAAAAATTGAAAATAAAATTAAAGTAAATAAAGCAAAAAAATTAATGCTGAAAATAACGACAGGAATCGAATTGCTGATACGCTTTAGAACGTCTTTATAATATTTAAAAAATTGAAGAAAAAAATTTACAAAATTTTTGAAAAATTGTCAAAAATGTTTGCAAAAATTTAAAAAAAATTGTTTTTCAAATATGAAAAAAAAAATTAAAAAATTATTTAAATAAAATATGAAAAAAACTTGTTGAATAAATCTGAAAATAATTTTTAATAAAATTTGAAAGAAATTTTTAATAAAATTTGAAATAAATTTTTAATAAAACTTTCTCTAAAAAAAATTCAAAAAATGTTTGTAATCATATCACGCGTTATTTATAAAATACAAAAACTTTTTGATGAAAATTTTATAATTTCCAATTTTATGCATTTTTATCAAATTTTCTTCGTTTTATAGAATTTAGTCAATTTAAATTATTATAAAAAATACAAAAAAGACGAAAAATATCCTAGGTATATTTGAAGCAAAAATTAATGAATTACTTAATTAAAAAAAGTATTTCATGGTGTAATAAACTAGTTTTAGGTTAGTTCGCACACATCTTCGCACTCATCAAAGTTCCAAGAACGAGAAACCAAGCCAACAAATTGGCATAAAATAAGTTAGCAAATGTTCCAAGAATAATCTTTTATACATTCTACACTTCATATACAAGTTTTATATACCAGCTCAAATCATAAAGTACTCAGATCTTCACTTAACACATTGCCTGTGCAGTTCGCAGTGTATCTGAACATAAGCAGTTATCGCACGATGAGCACTGCTGAAACTTGAGCTACTGAGGTGTGGCACAGGCACAGACACAGACAGACAGCAGCTAGGGGCGTGTGTCGCACATAAAGAATATCTATAAAGTGTATGTTAATTGTATGCCAAAATTCATATAGAAAAGGAACAAAAGTAAGTGGCGAAATGTCAGCTGAATGTACTTAATAGCCAGAGGAGCATTTTGAAAAAAAAAAAACCAGAGAGAATATTGCAAACGGGTAGTCAAGACTAACTTCTACTGCTTAAAAAGCCTTCACTCAAATGTTTTTCAACACTTTCAGCAGGAGCACATATCGTATATAGTATGTATCTTAAGCAGATAGCCATAGTGTATAATATATATAGATAATATCACATTACAATATTCATAAGCCAACGCAATACCCCGCATACCCCCATCTAGCACATTTCGACATTTATAGCAGCTACCATAAACGATATGTTTATAACTTCAATAAGATGGCATTTTTACTCACCTGCCCAACTTCGCACTTTAGGCAAATAATCGTTCCAGAAGGAGCAGCGCGCTGCTAGTGGGCCACGTGCCAATTTCTCAATTTTATCGTCTGTGCTGAAGATATAGTACACTGGATCCTCCTTTGAAAAGTTAGGCCATTCCTCGCCGTCCTGTGCCGGATTGCTGTAATGAAAGCTCGTATTATAGCAAACTGGTTTGTGTGCTCGCTAAGACAACTGCTTATTCGCTTGTGCGTATGGCAAGCTTTGCAAAAAGCTCCACGAAAGCTTACCCCGTCTTGGCGAACTCAATGACCGAATTCAGCATACGCTTGCCCAGCTCCCGCTCCACTGGTCGATATTGCAGAGATGTGTTCAGCGGCTGACCAAAGAAGTACTCAATCTCATCGCCGTGCAGCACGCCCATCCACTCGCCCCACAACGAGGTGCTGGTGCGCTACAGTACAAAAAGAGACGCAAGCAGTGAGTAAGAGTGAGAGAGGGAGACTCAGAGAGTGGGGATAATATTGTCGTAAACTTAGCCAGAAATTATGCAGATAAACATCCACCCTTTTTATTTATTTATTTGATTTCGCTCGCTCGCGCGCGCTCTGCAAATTGTAAATATTGTCGCAGCATCTCGTGGAGCCCAAAAATAAACATAAAACAACGGAAAAAAGGAGAATGCGGCAATTGGGTATGCCCAACTGGCAGTTGCTCTATGAGCTACAAATATTTGTGATTTACAAATGTTAGAGATATATAGATAGATAGTTAATATGAGAGTCATTTTGCTTTCAATAATATTTCCGGTTCTTTAGCAATCTATAGCTGTCTCACTGTTTATGCTTGTTATATCTCTTCATAAAACATCTTTATCTCCCATTTCTTTTCATCTGTTCTTGAACCGATTTCTATCTTCAAGCAAATTAAAGTTATGAGAACAAGTTATCGATTAGCTATCGATAATTTAAAAATTCTAAGACTAAAGCTCTTTTATAGCTGTTGACTAATAGATAGATAGAGAGAGCTAAATATAGAAAAAAAACATAGGCATGTTTATAATAAATCTATTAAAATATATACCTATTGATTTTATTGTTTCTTTCTCTCACCCTCTGAATACAATTCTATAGAATTTACATAATTTGTAGTTATTATTAAAGCTTGTCATTGCCTGTCTCTGCCTTGAGGAACTTCGATCCCTGTGACTCTTAAGTCTCAAAGTCTCCAGAAAGCTTCAACTACTTTATAATCTCAAAAGATCCTTAGTCAACCAAGCTAACCCCAAGCTCATCATACCCTTGCCAAGCAAGGCAGCTGCTAACAACGACTCGAAGAGCGCAGAACGCTTCTATAAAGATTATTTTACAAGCGATTCAAATGCGTGCTCGTGGCTATAAACAAAGTTAATTGCGCATATATTGCTTGCATTGATAACTCAAATTGCTGGATATGCCCCAGTCAATTTCCTAATTATTCTAATACCTTAATTAACCACAACAGCAGCAGCAACAACAACAACTACACGAACGGCAACAACAACAAAGAGAAGCCACAAAACCACAGCAATTTGGTCGAAGTCTATGGCAACTGATAGACAGCTCAAGTGCACAGTGGTACAAGTAGTGTCAAAATGTGAACGAAATTTAATTAACTTGCAAATTGATAGAACACATATTAAGGTATATATATAATATATAATATATAATATATAATATATAATATATAATATATAATATATAATATATAATATATAATATATAATATATAATATATAATATATAATATATAATATATAATATATAATATATAATATATAATATATAATATATAATATATAATATATAATATGTAATATGTAATATACAATTTATAATACGTATATAAACCTCTGAAACGTATTAAATTTTTTTTTAAATATATTTGATATTCATATATCAGATAATATTTTTCATTCATGAGTTCCTCAAGTTTAATATCTTTAAGCAAATGTGTCATAAATATCTTTTTATTGAAAGTTATCGAAATTGAGTTATCGAAAAGACCCGTACAATACCTTTGTTAAGCAACCAGCATAGAGTTCATGGAGCAACAGACAGCTACGTTAATATTATGTAGGGTATATGGATCTCTGCCTATAATTAAATCACATTGAAAAACAAAACCTTTTTGCATGCTCATATATATTAGGTAGCCAAATTCCCCCTTGTTATCTAAACTTTGTACCACTGTGCGTCATATTGAAGTGTTGTCCACTTAAGCAATTTGGCTGTTGGCAGCCACTGCAAACTGGCAGCCAATTGGCCAAGTCATCTAATGAATTGCAGCCAGGATATGCACAGGGTTAATGCCGTTTCCATGGCTGCAGCTGCCAAGCTGTGCACAAAGAGAGAGAGACAGAGACAGAGATAGAGAAAGAGAAAGAGACACAGACACAGAGACAGCGCCACAAATAATGAAGAATTGTGCGGCAAAAGTAAAGTTTCTCTCGTTTTGCTGTTGCTTTTTTGATTAAAGCTCGGACACGAGCATTGGCAATTGGCAGCAGGACGAACTTATTTAAGTGCCAAGCACGTTGCACGGCGCTGCAGAAGCAGGCAAGAGGCTGTCAAGTGTTGCCACTAGCAGCCATCGAAATGGACAATCTGCCAGCCACTTCAACGGCTGCACAGCCGCCCAGCTGGCCAGCTGGCGACCCCATTTGCCAACGCCTAGCTGAAAGGGCAGAGGAGCAGTCGTGGCAGCAGGGGCCAAAGGTCGCCATGGCCAGTTCTCATTTATGGCCAAAATGAGTTACGAGTTTCGCTGCAGCCAATTGAAGGCTGTAATTAAAACTCATTTCATTTGCTTTTCATTTCGCAGGCTCAGTTGTTGTAGTCGCTGCTGCTAGATTATGAGCAGGCGATTTGATATGGCCAATGCAACGACTGTTCGTTAACTTTTCACACGCACTGTTGGCCAAGTCGTGTGCCCTATTAAATAAACAAGAGCTGAGAGCAGTGCCAGCGGGACTTTAAGGCCGTACAATGCTCTGTTTACAGTGCGGCATCCTGGCCCAGTGACTGCCAAACTGTAGCGCAGTAGAGTGACGCTCAAGCTAAAGTAATCTAGAGCAATTTACTAGAAAAGAGTCAATTCAGATATAGAAATCAATTGAAAACAATATTCTAAGCTAATAATTTAATTCTATGACTCTCAAACTGTAAGTCTTGGGCAGTAGCTTTCAAACTGTGTGCATGTCATATTTAAATCTAAAAATGGCTTTCAAAATGCAACTCAAATTCCAGTGACTTTCACATTATTTTAGCAGCAACTTGCCCTAAGTGGCTCTCAAACTGTAATATCAAAACCAATGGCTTTCAAACTTTGCATAGCACTTCCTAACATTCCTTTCTCCTGAGCTCAGGCAAACAGAGTTTCTTTCATGTTAATCACACATGATGACTCTCAAACTATAAGCGCAAAGCAATGAATGTCAAACTTAACCTTATAGAGGCTAAGCTACATACAGCTTAAATCCCATAGCAATAGACGAACTTCGCCTAGCAGCTAATATACCCCTTAACAACATGCCAGCAGAGTATTCCGAACAGTAACAATCACATTTAATGACTTAACAAGCATAAAGAGCGCTAGTTCTTGATTAACATTGGCCTCAAGACACACGTGGCGTATGCGTAATATTGATTTTTAGACCAAAACACTAATTTGTGCAGGCGCATATACATACACATCTATATATATAAATATGTATACTATATACATTTATTATGATTTATCAATGGAACGACAAGGACTCAATATCGTCTGTCAGCTGTAATTACCTATTAACATTTACGCATTGTCGCTGAGAGAAAATCGATAGGGGCCGAGCGGGCGTATACTTAATGTTTTGGGCGGCAGGCGGGGGTAGGGATGAGAAGGGAGCACTCGTGTACTCCCTATTTGTTAATCATTAGGCCTGCAGCAGCCGCAGTCCTTTAAGCAAATAACTGACTCAAATTATGCCCCACACGTTCGGGCCGTACAGGCCGTGACCTCGTAAATTGAAGTTTCATTAGGCACTGCCACGCCTCCACCTACACACACGCACACTTGCAACAGCTGGACGCGACTCTCGATTCGTGCTCGTGCTCCAGCTATGTGTCTGTGTCCCGGGCAGAGGCCCAGGCCCAGGCACAGGACAGCCAGCCAGGCAGTGCGTGTAGTTTAATTGGCGCTGTCCTTGCGCCGCCTGCCCGCCCCCCCCCCCTTCTTCCCCGCCCACTCTCTCTCACTCACTCTGTGGGTGTGTGCGTTTATGGGCGTGTATTGAGCGAAACTTTTTGTTACCATAATTATGGCGGCCAAGGTTGCCAGAACTTGGCCAGAACTTTGTTTGTTTGCCCAGTCGAAGACAGCGGCGACGACGACCACCTTGAAAGGTGTCAAAATTCTAAGGTGTTACTATATTGATATCGATTTTGAATATGCATGTCGAATTTAATTGAATTTAATTTGGGAATATACAAGGGTATATATGTCTGTTATAGCTTAGCTGACAGCTAATACCTTTGATACTTGACTTCGTAAAGCTGATTTATTGCAGCAAAGCAAAAAGATTCAGGCTAAATTATATTTGCTTTACATATAAAAAAGCCTTAAGTATATACCTCAATTTGGACCATATATCAGCTTACATTGGAGTATTTAAATATAATCTTTAAAGGACTCCAAGTGACGTGGGTTGTATCATAAGTCGCTGAGTTCAAATCAGCGAATAAAAAATGTCTCCATGTCTGCTATGCCGCAAAGACCAGGAAATATTCAGGCAGACTTAAGCTGGCTCCATCAGACAACAAGAAAATGTTGCATGATCATTGAGGAACTATAGTCTGAGCTGCTACACAAATTCGATATTAACTTATGACAAAGTCTAACTCAATACGTTGGCAAGTGCCTTAACAGAAGATGATTCACATGGACACACGTGTCACAGGTAACCTCGGCAAAAAATCGTGCTCATTTGGTGTATGAAGTGCTTATTCAAAATCTTCAGCTTGAGCACATTTGCAACTATTTCTTGTTGTCAAAGCCTCAAAAATAATTTTTTAGTAAAATATCAGTTTGGTTTATTCCTCTTCATTCGAACGAAGTCTGTTAGGAATAACACAATTTCTTTACCTTTGCAAAATCATTTTAAAGTTTTGGCGTTCGTAAAGAAACGGGAAAAACTCCAAATGTGCTGAGCTTAAAGAAGATTCATTTTAAAAATTCAAAATTTATTTTTGCTGAAAAAGAAGTCTTGTTACAAAAGTCAGTGACTTAGTAAACAGCCCTCGTCTCTTCAAATGAAAAGAGTGCACTGTCAGCTGCAGGCCAATCAGTTAGCTAAACACATCAGTCAGTTTCTTGATAAGGGAGGAAAGACTTATATAAATATATATACATGAATTTAGAATACATTTATATAAATATTTGTTATATAAGAATATTGTATAAATATGATATATAAAGATATAGAATAAATTTATATAATAAATTGTGCATAATTGTAGCTAAAGACTGGCAGCCAAACCTGACTCTTGGCTCAAAAACTACTCTTTAATAGACTACTTATTAATTTTAAATTATTTCCATGCTATTTTCAGCTCAATAGCAATACGTTAAGTTAGTCAAGATTCCTAAAAGAATTATATTTAAGCTGAATTTGAACACTTAAACGAGCTGCCTGATGCATAAGTCCCGGCAATCAGCTGCAAAGTTTCTTAAAGTTCAGTAACCAGTTTTAGCTATACACATTCCTTAGACTCTGGCTTTTTACAGGGTATTTATAGCTTAAAAGTGCGCATTAAAAAAATCTGGCTGTCTGTATTCATGTAATCTATGAGATTGCAGCCATTCGTCAGGCATAAATAATGCAGACAGTCATCAGTAGCTTTTGCGCTGATGTTGCTGCAGTTGTTGTTGTTGCTGAAGTAGTTGCTGTTGCTGTTGTTGCTGTTGCTGCTGCTGTTGCAGGTAACCCCTTAGGCTCTGCTCGCCATTAGCCTTGTGTGCAATTTTAATGACAAACAAATTGGACGTTGCTGCGTTTACTTTCAGTCTTTTTTCTCTCACTCATTCTGTATATCTACATATGTGTATGTGTATGTGTGTGTGTGTGTGTGTGTGTGCGTGTGCATGTGTGTGTGACTCGTTTTGCAACAGTGGCGCTCCATTTGACCGCATTTCGATTGGACACACGCGCTCCGACGCCGTCTTACGTGTCAAAGGTTGTGAAATATTTAATGATTTGCGTGCCACGGGCAACGGGCAACGGGCAACGGCACCACCCAATTACCACACCACCGCCAGCACCACCCGCACTACTCACGTGTGTAAAGTAATAGTAATGCACGGAGGCGCCTCGCTCGGCCAGCGCCTGTGCATAGTCGTTGGTGGGGCACGTGAAGAAATGATCTCCGACAGCGCGTCCGATTTGCTGCTGGTTCTGATAGCCCGGATTGCCCTCCCAGCTGGTGTACTGCAAAGGAGTAGGAGCAGAAGTGGAAGAACAGGTCACATAAGCTCGCAATGTTTATGTAAATCAAATAAATAATTATAATAAGTGTTTTCAGGCAGTTATCGAGTTTTGATTGCGAGCATGAGCTGTGCAAGGGCTTAGCCATGGCTTATAATTAATGTTGCTATATAATATAGTGTCTATAAAATATATATTTAAATTTATTTTAATTTAAAAATTTTAATTGAAATTTATATAAAAAATATTGTGCTAATTTGCTGTAAGATTTATTGGATTATCAAGAGTTAACTTGAGGAAGGCAACAGCAAAGAAGGCCAACTTTAAAGCCTTGTTTGCTTCTAGTTAGCTTGATTTATTTTTAACTATTATAATTTTAAGCTGTCAGATACTCGAACCATAATCAATTGTAAACTAATAAAGTTTGTGCTAAGGGCAAGCAAGTGTTGATTCTTTATATATATAAATATTTTTATATATATCTAAATACATATATCTATATGCCCTAATCTAACAATAGTAAGCTTAGCATGATCCAGCCATGAACCAGCGCCTAGCTATAAGAAGGCAAAGGGAGCCACTGACTGCACTCTCTTTACGCATTAAAATTTGTTACAAAACTTGTCTCTGCGGCCAACTGTGGCTCTTAAATTTTAATGTTAGACGAAATCGTAATTTGAAGCTACAAATATGCAAAATTATATAGAAATCTGCAGTCAAATGAATGCTTTAATATTTGGCTGACTTGATTCATTTTTTGGAAAAAAAAACTCCGCAAATGTTGGCCTCAAACGAGGTCACTAAGGTAGCCATAGATGAGGCTAATTAAATCTTTTGATGTAGCTCGCCAATGACCTTGCTCTGACTGAGTCCACAAATTAATTCAATATAGCCATTTATTACATGTGGAGCATGAAGCCATGTCTTCTGTTGCCATTTAACTATTTTAAATATTTATTTTTATTTATAAATTTTTACACATTCAGCAGACAGCACAAGGCTGACACTCAAATGGCAAATCTCATTTATTATTTTCACATTTTTATATTAATAATAACTTCAACGGCTGCGGCCCTATTGCTATCAGAAATGTTATCAGTCTGGTCTGGCCTGGTCAGCCTATACAAAAAAAGTTTTTAGAAATTTTTAAAAATTGAATTCCTAGTGAAGCTTAGCATTTCGAGTTTCTTAAAGCCAATTTCTATGCATAGAAGTTGTTCGAATTGAAGGCCAAGTAACCTTTGCAGCTAGTTAACTGAAGTCATGCAAGGATGTCATCTAACAAGTTTACATCTGCTGCCAATCAGGAAGCGAGCGATAAATGTGATTGCAGCTCACAGCTCTAAGCCAGCTGCAGTTATGGCGCGATATCGGGCAAGTCGCTTAGCTGCAATTTCATTTCGATTTAATGCGCTGCGCATTTTCTGTTTTCATTTTTTTTTTGTTCGTTATTAAATTTGCCCCTGCCACAAGGCAAAAAGAGTGAATAAATTTGCGTAATGCAGTTTCATTGAAGTTGACGTCACATTTTTAACTCGTTTATGTGGCGGCTGTGGCAGAGTGCGAATTGTGGGCAACTGACAACTTGTGTGTGTGTGTGTGTGTGTGGTTACATTGGGGCACAAGTTGGCAGCTGCAGCTGACAGTTCGCAACAAAGAAAGCCAACGATGCGTTTCCCATTCGAATTGGCATAGGCACATGTCAGTTGCAGTGCGACTGCGACTGCGAGTGTAAGTGTGTGTGTGCGTGTGTGTGTGTGCATGCATTGTTGCTTACCTGGAATATAATAGCCTCGCGTTCCGCCTGCGTTGCCTTGCCAAATATATTGTTCATAATCTCCAGATACTTGTCACGTGGCAGCGCCGTGGCATCATCCTTATCAAAGTAATCAATGAAATCGTACAGCAAGAAATAGGTGCCTGCAATAGAGCGAGAGAGAGGGAGACAGCATGAGTACAACTTGGCCTAGACAGATGTCTATATGTAACGTGGGCAAAATCTAAAACAATTGACACTAGATGTGGCCAAAGGGGCGCAATCAACGAGCCGTGCCAAGGACGCCAAACGCTGCATTAACCTAAACAACAACAGCAACAATTGTTGTCGTTGCTGCTGCTGCTGCTGCTGCTGTTGTTGTTGCTGAGGTGCACAAAGGGTGAAATAGAATAAACAAAATCAACCACAGCAACAACAGCCTTAACAAGGGCGAGAACAAAGCGTCTAGTTGCCTTTTATTAACTTAATTTTTATGGCACTTGTTGTTGTCGTCGTCGTCGCTTGTTATGTTTACTGTAGCTGGCGTTGTTGTTGTTGTTGTTGTTGTTGTTGTGTGTGTTGCTGCTGGCATTGTCTCTGGCACACTTCAAATACGAACACACTAACGAGCCATAATTGCTGCCTATGAGCCAGCGACAACAGCAAAAACAACAAAAGCCTGCCAATAGCTCTGTCTCTCTGTGGCAGTCTGTGTGTGTGTGTGTGTGAGTGTGTTATGTGTGCCAACTCACACACACGCACAGCAGCTGCGTGGTACCAAAAAACAAAATGGGAAAAAAAACGTTTGACTGCAAGCAATTTGTTGATGTTTGATTTAATTTTGGTTCAAGCCCCAAAAATTATGCAAAAACATGCGCAAAATGAGCTTTGTTTACGCATTGAGTTTAAACAACAACAACAACAATAACAACATGCACACACACGCACACTCACTCGCCTGACTCTCTGTATGTATCATAAATGAATTTGTCTTTTATGAAAATATCGAACAACGTTACAGCAAATGGTTAAACAATTATAAAAAAAAATCCTGCACTGCACAGTGGTTCAGAGCTAGACGAAAATTGTGTTAAATAAATGCGTAAAGCTCAGATGAGCTTTACATAAAAATTGCACAAGTTTATATTCGCTTATAATGCACAAAAGCATATATAAAATATATAAATATATATACTTAAAATAACCATCAAAATAAAAAACTTTTTCTAAATTTTAATTTTTTTCTAATTTAAATGAACATTTTTGCAAGTTTCAGCTGATTTTGTTCAAGTTTTCTTACTTGATTTTATATATTAATTATTTAATTTTTTTTAAAAAGTTTTTATACTGTTTATCCTAAAGTTTCGCCTAAATCAGCTAAGAAATGTGTTTTAAAAAGTCTTCTATTGTTTTCTTATTTAACTTTCGTAAATTTTTCATCTTAAATTTTATTAAAATTTTCTAAAAATAATCCAACTTAGTCTTAGGCATACACAACTCTGGCAAAGCTTAAGCAATTTCTATGCTTAAATTAATTTAGTTAATAAGTCTTGCTTTGATTTACCATTACATTCTAATTGAACTAATAAAAGTTAAATAATTTTAGATAATTTTCATTATTTTTCATAATTTTTCATGATCTGTCGTTATTATTTTTGCCATTTTCAAGGTCACATTGAAATTTTTAGTTCCTGCGCCTGGACATAACGGTTACTTATTGCTTAAGCGGCATGGGAACAAGCATTTGGCTAATTCGCTACAAATTGGTATTGCCAACAATTACGTAAACTTTTCTGTAGCAATATCATATGCAAATAATTTTAGCACAAATTGCAAAAGGTCAAAATGGGGAAGGCCCTAAAATAACATACAAATTTAATAATTAAAGTTCTAAAACTAAGAATGAGTCTACTTTGCCCGATAAATCAGTTCATTGCACAAGTATCTACAAATGCTAACATTTTGGCCAAGTTAACAGCTGGCTTCAAATGTTGAACAGCAATAGAATTAAGATGTTTTCATGCAAGCTGCGCATTGTAATCTATTGTGCTTTGTTTCAAATGCTAGATGACCTTGAACTCACAAACACAAACACACGCACACACACATACACTCGAAGAGAAACAGTTATATGCGAGTCGTAGCCGTCGTTGTGGTTGTGTTGTGGGCACGCACACCTTGACTAGAAACAACAGCAGCAGCAGCAACAGCAACGGCAGCGACAGAGAACAGCGGCAACAGCAGCGCCACTGGCTGTAATATGCAGCAAAAACAAAAACAATAACACGGCTGAAGAAGCGAGACGGAGAGCCAGGCAAAGGCGACAGCAGCTGCTGCAAGCAATGAGTGAAAGTGAGCAGAAAAGCGCACGTGTCTGTAGCGCCAGTGCCCCGGAGCCGTGTGTCAGTGCCAGTGCTTATGTCCATGTATATGTATAAATGTGTGCGAGTGTGAGTGTGTGCTTCGGTGCCTGCCGCCTGGAAATGACGAAGCAAGAAAAAAAATGAAAGCGAAGCGAACCCAAGAAAAAAGCACACAAAGCGAACGAGAATCTGTTATACGAAAACAAACCCAACACACATAAGCTCACACACACACAGGCATACGCACAGCTCGCGCAAAATGAGAAAGAGAAAGCAAAACGAACGGAAATTTTTTAAGTAGCGCGCGGCATGGCACGAATAATGCGAACAATGCACACAAAGCGTTAACATTACCGTTAGGCCAAGCAAACGCAAACGCAAACGTAAACGCGATAAATGCTGGGAAACGCAGCAGCCGACGCCGTCGCCACAGGCGAAATGTGAAACGGACAGAGGCGCTGAAGTAGAAACACAAAAAAAAAAATAAAAAAAATAAGCGTTGCATTCTTTTCGACTTGAGCGTAAAAAAAACACGAGAATTACGATTTCAATTGAACATTTGCTTTGAGAGCTTAAAAATCAAACGGTATTTAAAGCACAATGCAGCACGCAGCACGCTAGAGCGAGATGGCGGCACAAGTTTCTAGGAATTGAATTGCTGTGTGAGTGTAAATGCTTTGAATGCTGATTAAAATGGTTTTTAATCTTTTATTGCCATTGGACGCAGTTCAGTTTGAAAGGAATCAAAATGATTTTTCAAAAGAAATGAACTTAGGAATTGATGGAAATTAAATATTCTTTATGTTCTTGCTTCAAATATGTATTATATACATAAAAGAAATATTATTTCTATATTTTTATAAATATTTATATTAATCACATACTATTGTATTTATTTACATAAGCTATATTTAATATTTAATGATTTATATTTCTATAAGTCAGCATTTTATTTATTTTTGTTTCTTTTTAAATATATTTTTATCACTTTTTAATTTAATTTGTTAACTTCTTACTAATTTATAAATAAAATATACTTATTTTTTGTCGTAAAATGCTCTATTTTACTAAATATTAATAAACTTATTAAAAGAAAACAAAAAAAAACAATTTATTTTGTTTATTTTTTATTAAATTTTTAACTTTTCCCACTAATAATTTATAACTTCAATTCATTCAAAATGTTTTTATTTTTTATTGAATAATTTGTTACCCTCTTTAACTTTGGTATCCTGTCATGCCACTTCGAGTAGTAGCACGTGTGCTGCCCCAATCGTTTAGTGGATGCAACATGCCTTACTGTTATTTTCAGCTGCCTGTCGCAGCTAACGGTATATATATATATATATTTAAATAATTTATGATGTCGTTTCGCACAGCTGAGCGCCCGCACGATTCCGCCTGACATTGCCCCCGATGTGACGCCAACTGTCCCTATTCCTGCCCCATACCTCGCTTGGAGAGCTTGTTGCGTGCACGAGTCTGACAAGTTTAATGGCAGCTCCAACAGAACGCCCCCATCCATGGGCCCCTCCTTAGCTCCTTGCGAATTTCATGCGTGTGAGCTAGCGTAGCTCCATCTTCCGCTGCTGCTCGATTCGGCTGCTGCTGCTTGCAGCTGCGTTGACAAATTTGACTCTACGTTCGAGGTTCTCTTTAAGCTTGCTTGATTTGTGGCACGTTTCGGAGTCGGGGGCAGCTGCCACAAGCCGCAACCATTACACAAAGTGCATTTTTGTGTGTGGCAGCAGAGTACAAAGCCGGGCCAAAACTTGTCCCTAAGCCGGTAATGTACTATGGCTCATAAAGCATTCGAACAAGCGGCTAAGAGGCAACCTGCCACGCCCACCAAAGACCAGCAGCATAAAACGACAACAAAGCATGGCTTATGCGGTGGCATCTACATCAACAACAACAACACAAACGAAAATAAAACAAAAAGTAATAAAATCAGAAATGGATGCAGCTGCAACAAATGCGACTGCGGGTGCTTAAAATGGGGGCAGGGGGCGGTGAGCGGCTTGCAACATGAACAAAATGGCGACTGGTTGCAGCCACAGCTAAAATTTGGCACACTGCTGACGTCAGCATCAAAGACGAAGCCAAAAATAAAACTGCAACAATGCCAACAGAGCAGAGCCAGAGCCAGAGCCAGAGACGACGGACGGCGGACGGATGGGCTATTGTTAGCTAAAAGTGGACAAAGTGGGTACGGGGGTGGTTTGGGGGAGGCTTCGCTAAAAAACAGTGGACAACAGCTCGAGCTAAGTTTGATTAAGTTGATGTCCACTCTATGAAAAAGCTGCTGAAAAAGTAAGCAACTGTTCAGCTCAAGGATATTTGCAGCACAAGTTGAAAGACAGCATGAGTTCACACAAACTACTTTGAGAGCAGTGGGGCAAAAACTGTTTTTTAGTTCAGTAAAAAGTTAGCGACGTAGCGGAAATATAATGTAAAACACATTTTACTTAAAGCAAATATGAGGGGCATAGTTTGATAAGAGAAGATTATGATAAAAAGGATATTAAAGGATTTATTCATAATTCGATTAGGCATGTATTCTGAAGAGATATAGATATGTAGTGTATATAGAGTATATATTTAGCCAACAGTATAAACAGTTGAATAGATAAAAATAACTCAACTAACAGTTGTGGTACTTAGTTGACCTTAAGCAAAGTCGCTTATCGAAGCGGACTTAGTCAGATGAGATATAGCAATAATAATAATTATAGATTGGAAATAGGGTATCTATAGACAATACTTTTTTTATGTATTAGCCTTTAGAAGCAGTTGCAAACTATTAACTATTTATTAAGCAAAACCAACAAAATGTCCGAGCACCTGAAGCCTCGTTGTTCAAATAGAAACATTTTTCTTGCAGAACATATAAATTAAGCATCAACAAAATCTATAAAAACATATTCTAATATTTAATTTCGTAAATTTTGTATTAAATTGAGAACTTTTCATAAATTTACTCTCTGCAAACCTTTTTCCCACAACTGAAAGCGCGCCCAAAAAAGTATGCTATGAAAAATTGAAAGTTTCTGATGCAGCAAACACTTAGCTCTAAGCTCTAGGAATGCGACTATCCTTTCGTTATTCTCAACCATAATCAGTTAAAGACACTCACCCTCATCGCGCACATTGCCCATGAGTATATCGTAGTCCTTGAGATCCGCTGTCTTCATCAGTGTCATGGGATCAGCGGGCAGGAAGGCGCCATCAATGGTCGGCGCCGATGGGAAGCTGAGTATGCCCGAGTAAGAGTTCCACTGCTGCACCGATATGGTCTTGGCATCCACGGCGCGCATGCAGCTCATCACATGGGTAGGATTTGTCTAGGCAGACCGTTGTTAAAATGTGTCTATTGATTTGATCTCACAGCTTGACTCACCTTCAGCATGGATGCATTGCAGTTGCAGTCGTTGATCAGCGATTTGCCAATCTCGACGGCCTTCTCGGATGTCATGTGGCTCCAGGGCGCGTTCATTGTGCCCGACTGCATCATGCCGCGCTTGACCACGCCCCTGGTAACTGGCGACATGAGCTGTGCGTTCACCGAACTCGAGCCTGCCGACTCGCCGAACAGAGTCATCCACTCCGGATTGCCGCCAAAGGCATGCGCATTGTCCTTCAACCAGCGTATGGCCAATGCCTGATCCCACAGACCCACGTTGCCGGGCGCCTCCTCTGCAAACTCAGCCGGCATCTCCGGTGACAGATGCAGAAAACCAAAAGCGCCCACCCGATACTGAAACGAGGCCACGATCACATTGCCCACGGCGGACATGATGTCCGCATTGTAAATGTCCAGCGTAGCCGAGCCGGTCATGAAGCCACCGCCATAGATCCATATCAAGATGGGCAGTCCGTTGGTCGTGTTCTGCGGATTGCCGTTGTGTATCAGATGATCCGTATCTGCCTGCTTGTTGCCCGAGTGCTATAAGAGAGAGTGACAGAGTGGCTAAGCGAGAGGGAGCGAGACAGTGAGAGAGTTGTGGCACATACCTCGGCTCCATTGGCGCCACGTCCATGACGCAAACGCGCCTTCGCTGGCGCCCAAACATTTATATATAAGCAGTCCTCGGATACATTGGTATTGGGGTTCCAGATCTCCTCGCCAGTGAAGCCCGGAAAGTATTCATAGCTAATAAGTGGGGAGAAATGATTATGAAATTAGTTGGAAATACTATCAAAGGGTTGGTTTTAAGCATCTTAATAAATAAGCAACATATTTCTACTGAAATTTCTTGAGATTATAAGGCTTGATATGAAATTTCTTGAAATTTCTTAAATGAATTTTTATTAACTTCTTTGAAATGTCTATGATAACTTGTATAAAATTTTAATAAATTTGGTTTCTAAACTTTCTTCCTTTAAACAAACTTTATATAGAAATTTATTTAAGTATATAGAATATATAAAACTATTATATTTTTCACTCTTGAATTTTAAACCAATATCCAGATATAGATTGCTATGAATTGAAGCAACTATTGCCTGCTTAGCAAACAGCATTAAGGACGACCCAGAAACCTCGATTTGAGCGCATAAATACATTATTCTTTCTTGAAAATAAAACCAGAAAATAAATTTAAAATATCGAATTTCCTAATAAATATTCAACAAATTATTGAAAATCCATTCTGTATTTACAAAGATAAAAATATTAAAAATTATTAAAAATATTTAAATTTTTATTTTCAAATATTCTAACCAAGGCGTATACTTGATATTATTGGAAATAAAAGAGACAAATTTAATATTTAAAAAAATGGCCTTTATTGCTTGAGCTTTCATAAATTAGCTGCTTATAATTTTTTTTAAATAATTTTAGTAAGCAAAGATGAGCCAAAAAAATCAATATTTTTGATGCTCTCGAAAAATTAATAAAAATCATACAAAATGAAAAAAAAAACACAAGCAAGAAATTTTTCATCTACATAACTAATAACATTTTGAAGCAAATACATTTTTTTCATTGAAATTGTTGAACAGATATTACTCTACAAAGCTTGGAATAATTTCAAACCTATTCAGTTGGACTGCACTGTATTGCCATACTTCTTAGCTAAAAACCACTTAAGCGCAGTTAGAAGCACATAACTATTAGATATATTAAGTGCGATTCATATCCATTTAGATGTCTTAATTGGGTTTCAACATAGATTGTATTAGAATTTCGAACTAGCTATTTCTTTAAGTGTATTTCGTGTCAATTACGAGCAACAGCAAAAAATGTAACCAGCTGTGTTATTTATTTTTATTTGCACTCTTCTGATTTACCTGTTTTACTTTTTCTGTGCCATTTTTCGAGGGTGCACACAAGCCCATAAACCAGCACACACACACACATATACACACGCACACTCGTAGTCAGATGACTTTAGCTACATAGTTCGTTTGCCCTATAAATGTTGAATTCCTTCGAATCGATATATAAATATATATATATATATATATATATATATATATATATATATATATATATATATATAGGCTGGACGATACGCATTGTTGTGTCTATGTGTGCGTGTGTGTGTGTGATTCAATATATTCATATCCGTTTGGCTCGCTTTCTGTAGGTGTGTTTGGTTTCGTGTCAATTGAAATTAACTTTGGCACTTCGCATAAAAAGTAATTTATAACAAACCGGAAAAGGCGATTCTACTCTGTCTCCGCTTCTCTCATTCTTTCTCTATCTCTATTTGTATCTCTATATTTGTCTAATTTCCGTTAAGCCCCGCACACACACATACACAGGCAGACACACACTTGTTATGTTACGTTTGAGCGTGCGGCAAATGAGTATAGCTTTTGAAATTCATTAGACTGATTTGTGGCTGGTAGGAAGTGGGCTTTGGCTGAGGCTAATTGATTTATGTTAAGTAAAAGACAACGTATGACTAGGCTAGTCACTCTATTAAGTACACTCGGTATACTAGAAACTGCTATAAGTCAGCAGCAGCATGCCCCGAAAGCTTGCCTGCTCACTTGCTTAAGCATTCCGATTATATCGACCAAACTGTGTGTTTTCCTTTCACGGGGCAAAGGCTCAAAAGTGTTGGCAGTCAGCTAACGGAGACACTCTATACTATATATCATCTAATCAAATATACCTATGTCAAAGGAACGCCAATATATAGAGTGTATTTATTAGCTAATTCGATTCCTGCAGGCGCAACAAAAGAAATTTCATTACATAAATTCCACAACTTAATTAAAAGTGAACAGAATATTTACTTTAAATTGCTCTTCGCTCTTTCCTTTATATATATTTGTGCTTTTCTTTAATTAACACTAAGCGCTGCACTGCACTCCATCATTTATTTAAGTACCTTAAAATTCTGCCCTAAAAAGTATGCTATAGATTTTCTAGTTGCCTTGTTGAGGAATAACTTTGCCTATTCGAATCTATTTTAGCAATAAATTATTCTACATTATAATCGATTTTTGTTTATATAAATACAAGTAAATAAGCCCGTTTACGTGTTGAGAAATGAGTTTATTAGCTGTGCTATATTCAAGCTAATGTCTGTCTCTATGAACGCAAGGCATGTTGGAGTTAGTTAGACTTGACTTCAGAGTGGAAATTGAGTTACTTGTGTTTATCCTAGTTTGATGAGATGTGAAGACAAAAGACAGTTGCTATATTGCTTGAGCATCTTTTCCTAAGAATACTTTAATAATATTTTATAATATATATTTTTTTATATATATTTTGAGTGAAGCATGTGCACAAGTGTTTCACTGCTGCTCCTAAACTCGATGTTTTGACGTTCCTCAATGCTGTACTTTAAACCAGTTGACTACATCAATAACATATTCCTGTTTAAACAACATCTTTTAAATATAATCGCTAATATTTGAGTAACTGTTGCAGATAAAAACTTTGAACTTAAGACTTTAACTTTCTATGGAACAACTTGAATAAACTGTATCTATTTATGAAGATTTTATATATCATAATGTATACATAGTGAATTATATATATATATTGTATATTATATATATTATTTTATAATAAATTTTATAGAATGTGCTTCATCAAGTGTCAATGTTTACTTAGCTAAAAAATTTAGAAAATATTTAAAGATATTTCTAGTCATTTTGAAAGTCTGTTGATCATATGTTGTGTCTGTCTTCTAGATTTTCAGATTTTATGGAAGCTTATTCCAACTAGACATGTAGAGGATGTTCAACATAATTTTATATTTTAATATATTTTTGAAAATGCTTTAGTTTTCATTATTTTACTGTGCATTCGCTGTGCCTTTTCAGTGCAAAACTTCTTTAATTTATTATTACTTATGAAACTATCTTTGAATAGAAACATTATATGTATATATACCCATATGCCTAATCCTATATCTATATACATATCTATAGCTATATTTCTGTACAATAATCTACTGCCTTATACATTCTAAGCATCAATTCTATTTGCAGTTAGAATGCTGACATTTTGCTATTCAAAATGTTAAATGAACATATTTATATAAAGAAAATATAAATATAAATATATATATATATAAATATTTATCTTTACAAATTGTGTATGCACTTTATGTACACATTTGCTTAACAGTTTGGCCGGCATTCGTTTCGCAATGACGTCACTCGCCACAGTTAGGTCAGATGCGAATATTGCAACGGTTCGCATTGTAGGTCAACTGCAAGCGCAGAGCTGCAGACTCCGAGCTGTGAGCCGCCAAGCGCTAACTAACTGTGCAAAGCCCGGCCACAAACCCAAGCGCAACCCACTCTTAGTACTTACCGCTCCTGGACGCAGGTGGCCGAGAGGCGGGTGGCATCGAGTACGCCGTGCCAGGGCTCGGCCGGCACCGGCTTGCGGAAGCGCAAATCATCGAGAGGCGGCTTGGCATAGGGTATGCCCGTATAGACGTGCACTTCGCGACCCTGCACCGTTACGGAACGACCGCGCACCGGGCCAGAGCTGGTCTGCACCACCAAACGATCGATGACGCCGCAGACGCTGGACAGCTGCAGCGCCAGCACGAGCAGCGCAGCCAGCAGCGAGTGCTGGCCCAGCCGAGAGACCATTTCGCGGATGTGAATGTTAAAGCGGATGCAAAGGATGTGCAGGCTAACGAGATTTTGCGTTTTGCGGCACGAGTGTCCTAGTTAGCGGCGTGTGACGTCACCTCGTTGCCACTTGCCTCGCTCTCGCTCTCGCTTTTGCTCCTATTTCCGTTTGGATTTCGATTTGGATTTGGTTTTGGCTTTAGCTTTGTTTTTTTTTTCTCTTTTTTTTCTTTTTTTTTGATGTTTATTTAAAAGCTGGGCACGGCCTGCGCTCCGCCAGCGCCTTCAGCCGCAAATACTTGTACGCAGCTGTTGCTGTTGTTGTTCTGCTTCTTATTGTTGTTGTTGTTGTTGTTGTGACGGTTGCAGTTGCTGTTGTTGTTGGCTCTTATGCTTATTATCCGGTTGTGTTTGCTGCTGCCACTTTAAGCTGCCTTGTGGACTCTGCACTACACATTCTACCCGCACTCTCTCTCTCTCGCTCTCTCTCTTTGTCTGTCTGGGTTTACTTTGACTTTTGGGCTTTTGTTGCAGTTTTTAGTTGCTTTTTCGTGCAGCTGTTGCACTTTTGTTGCGCCTCCCCGTGGCAGAGCGGCAGCGTCTCTATTGTTTGAACTGCAAATAGAAAAGGCATTAAGTTATTTGTCTTAGTTTTCCCAGTTGGCATAGCAGCAACTGCTGCTGCTGCTGCTGCTGTGGCATGCCAAGCTTAATTCAGGGCTGCTGCTACGGCTGCTGCTGCTGCCACAAGTGCATGTTGACTTGGCTTGGCTTGCCCCCATTTGTATGCTACGTTATTTAGGTGTATTTGCTCACTATATATGTGTGTGTGTGTGTGTGTGTCTGTGTGAGTGTTGCATGTCTACCACTCGAGCAAAGATGCAATAGCAGAAGCCAAGCAAAATTGGAGGCTGCCACATGCTCGGCTCTCGGCGCGCATTCAAAAGTTTTGAGTGCCAGAACCCGCCCAACCATATATATATGTATGTGTATATGTATATGTATATATATGTATATATATATATTCATATCGGGGCCACTCACAGCCGCACTCAAGTGCTGCGTATCATTTTCTAAGGCAGCTTCTGCCTCTGCATGCAAAAGCATCGTTAAGTTTACCAACAAGTATATACCTATATATATATATATATATATATATATAACTTATATTTTATCTGTAGAGTCACTTGGCTTGTCAATTACAGTTTTTTAAGCATCATAAACCAGTTTTAACTGCTTGAGCAAATATGGCAACAGTCACAGCGAAAAGAAACTTCAAGAAAAACGTTGTCAGCAGCTGGGAGGACGAGCCTTGACTTATCATTAGTGAGCACAACTCTAAAATTATATGTATGGCCTAACTGAATATAATATATATGAGCAATCAACAAGGTAAGAGACACAAACTGAGCAAGTTACCTGTAAAGCTTATCCGTTTTTAACACCTGCACAGCTCACCAGTGCCTAGCACTCGCTTTGCTGCTTGACTAAGCTATGAGAATTCTATGGTTACAGACTCTATTAAGCCAAAGGCCTGCAGCTGAGTAGTAAAGGCATCATGAGTAACAGCAGAGCTAACGAATAAGCTGTCATAATTGCTATCATTGGGCAAACAGCGCTGCATAGCAGTTATAATACAGTCGTCTTTGCTCAGCTGCATACAGCAGTATTTAGATACATACTACACTATTTGCTGCTATATCATATAGTTCACAGATTATCCATAAACTTTAAACAGTAAACTTTGCTATATAAATTAAAGTTAACAAGAAAGAATGCTCTGCTCGAGTGTGCCCAACTAGAAGATACCCTAACCTAGCCAAACTTTGCTATATAAATTAAAGTTAACAAGAAAGAAGAAAGATTGCTCTGCTCGAGTGTGCCCAACTAGAAATACCCTAACCTAGCCAAACTTTGCTATATAAATTAAAGTTAACACGACAGAAATGAAAGAAAGAAAGAATGCTCTGCTCGAGTGTGCCCAACTAGAAATACCCTAACCTAGCCAAACTTTGCTATATAAATTAAAGTTAACAAGACAGAAATGAAAGAAAGAAAGAATGCTCTGCTCGAGTGTGCCCAACTAGAAGATACCCTAACCTAACCAAACTTTGCTATATAAATTAAAGTTAACAAGAAAGAAGAAAGATTGCTCTGCTCGAGTGTGCCCAACTAGAAATACCCTAACCTAGCCAAACTTTGCTATATAAATTAAAGTTAACAAGACAGAAATGAAAGAAAGAAAGAATGCTCTGCTCGAGTGTGCCCAACTAGAAGATACCCTAACCTAACCAAACTTTGCTATATAAATTAAAGTTAACAAGAAAGAAGAAAGATTGCTCTGCTCGAGTGTGCCCAACTAGAAATACCCTAACCTAGCCAAACTTTGCTATATAAATTAAAGTTAACAAGACAGAAATGAAAGAAAGAAAGAATGCTCTGCTCGAGTGTGCCCAACTAGAAGATACCCTAACCTAACCAAACTTTGCTATATAAATTAAAGTTAACAAGACAGAAATGAAAGAATGCTCTGCTCCAGTGTGCCCAACTAGAAGATACCCTAAGCGCCACGCAGAGCTGCTGTTGCCATCATTCTATGCTTCATTTATAGCAGCATAGCAAAAGCAAATGTATTCAAAGCCAAGATTTAAAAGTTCTGTGTATTCATTAGAGGCACTCGCACAATAAATTTGACTTCCATTAAAAGAAAAATAAAATAAAAGCTAAATCTAATGTTCATTAATAAAGAAATGAAACGAGTTGTTGATCATGATAAACTATGCACATACAGCAGTGTCCAAGAAACTACATATAAAATTTCAACAACACAACTATATCAACTATATCAGGAATATATATACTTTATGTAAGTGTTAGTCAGGATATATATACTTCATGTAATCTGCTAAGCCGCCTTACATCAATTTTGCCATTTTCAATAAGTTCAAGGTACCCAAACCTTACTTTAAAGATCTTCATACGCAACTTTTTTACTTCAAAATTGCAATTTATTTAGAATAGTTGCAACAAATTCCTGAAAGTATTAAGCTGCAAACAATTTCAAGCTCATTTTAAGCTGTTAAACGATTTTTTTAATTTGTCGCCAGCTTTCGAGCTGCGAGCCAGAAACCAATCAATATTTGACAAAAGATACTCTGTAAAGCTCACAAAGGATTGATGTGCAGCAGAGACCATTCTGAGTTGCTTCGTTGCCAGAGCATTTAATATTCCTTCTGCTGGCATTCAGCAGAATTTAAGCATTCAAGTGTAATCCCCGAATGCTGCACCGCACAGCACTCAACAACTCGTTAAATTGTCTCAGAAGCTGCAGTTGGCTGGCTTTTGGTTTTCTATTTCCATTTTCCGTGGCAGGCAGCAGTTGCTACATTAGCTCGTAAAATGTGTGTGTGTGTGTGTGTGTGTGTGCAGATGTGGACTGCCCCTGCCTTGTCCTTGAGCCTCCAACTGGGTTGCATGCTGGCAGCCCATTAAGTCGCAGTTCGAGCTATACAAAGGCATATTTAATAGCTCCACTTGCTTCGGCGGTCATCGCTGCCAGTGTCTACTGTCGAACTAATTTAAATATTATTTTGCAGCACAATTAAAATGTGATTAAAAGGGGGGCGCTGCATCTCGCAATTCGCATTTCACTTAAATTAAGTCAATTGACATGCCTAAAGCAAGTTGTTAGCAAGTTCCAGACCTCAGATTGCAGACCGAGACGATTAAGAATTATTATGAGAGAGGTGAAGTGATTCAAAGTAGTCCTTTGCCTAAAGGATATGTATATTCCTGATTAACATAACTGACGAGTCGAGCTATAGCTTTATGCATTTATCCGTGTGGCTGCCAAGTCACTCTGCAACTGCCTCTGCCTTTCTCTCTCATTCTCATTCTGTTAGTCTTTCCGTCTGTCGATTAGGCATTCAGTTTCTCAGTTTCTCTCACCGTCTGCCTGTCCCTCACCTAATCTAGCTATATGTCAGCCTCTGTCTCTTCCTGACTTTTCATCTCTATTTAATGTTTGTCAGTGGTCACACTAATCTCTCTCTCTCTCTCTCTCTCTCTCTACCTTGCGTTTCTATTACTTTCTTTTCTCGCTGTTTTTCATTTTTTTGCCGTCTCCTTACTCATCTCATCCCTTATATGTACCTCTCCTCCCTATCTATTTCTTCTCTCTGTGTTTCCTCTCTGTCTCTCATTTCTCTCTCTGCCTTTCTGTCCCTTTCTCTTACTCTATCTCTCTGTAGATTCCTATAATCTGTCTGTATCCCTCTTTGTCTCTGTCTTTCAATCTCTTTTCCTTAATTTTGAGGCTTATGCATATCTCAGTCCCTCACATTCTCTGTCTCCCTCTCTCTTTCTGTCTGTCTATGTGTCTCTCTCTCTCTTTCTCTGTATGTGTATCTCGCTCATTTTCTCTCTCATTCACTCCATCTATTTTTTTTATATATATAGCTAAGAGTTAGCCTACATTTCCCTACACCTCATGTTTTTTTCCCCTTTATTTCACTTTCTCTTTACCTTCGTTTCTCTTTACTTTTCTTTCATTTTACATTTCTTTCTCTTTACTTCCCTTTCTCTTTATTTTTATTCCAATCCTTCTTTCCATCTATCTGCATATCTCTCTCTTTGTTTGTTTTCACATCTCCCTCTCTCTCACTCTCACTTCGGTTGACTTTTTGCTTCCATCTGCCTTGGTCTGCCTGTCTCTCTCTCTCTCTCTCTCTCTCTCTCTCGCTCTCGCTCTCTCTCTGTCTATCTCTTCATCTACATGCTTCTCTTTATTTCATTTTCACTCTTATCATATGCGCCTCTATCTCATTGTCTCTCTCCCTGTCTCATTATCATTCTCTCTCACTATCAATCTGACTTATTCTTTATTTCTATTTCTTTACCACTTTCACTACTTCCCTCTGTCTTCAGATCTAGTTCTGTCTCTTTACCTTTCCTTCTCTCTCATTCTGTTGCAAGTCATTTCCATTCTTGACATTAGTTTTTCTCTTATAGTTGATTCGTTTGCATTAGCACTCAGATGGCATTAGGAGTATGAGAACAGCTCTCAGAAAAGTAGATCTGTTCTTCAAGGAATCCATCTTTTCTATACCGACTATAGTGAATAATATAGTTGCTGCAGCAGCTTGCGTTAGCTTTGCTAGAGTACACACTCTTTGGCGTTTCGGTCTTTCGCTGTTTTCTATTCCAAGA